CGAGATTTAAAGGCCTAACGTGTAAGAGTTATGTAAAAGATCTATTGGCAGAAATTAAATAAAGTGTAATCATCTAAATTGAACAAATTGTTTCTTTACCCTAGAACGGGTCTTTTATTTTTAAATCTTTTATATTTACATCAGGAGCGGGTCCAGTTTTTATGCCAACTGAAGTCTACCACAGATTCTCTATCATGTTGGGAAGGAGAGGGTGAGGGGTCTTCAGCTGCAACATGCAACATCACTAAATTCTACACACTCAACCTTTAAATACAATCCATGGCCGCAGATGCATCGGGGGATGCTACTAGGCACTTTTTGCCCGTTCCTTTATTGTAACGCAACTATGGTCGGAAGACCGGTCCCTAAATAAATCTATTCAGAGTATCTCTACAGCATCACCAAGACTGACAGTTGTTCATTTACAGATCTGAGTTCTACATGAATATACGTACTCATGTCCAAACACATGCTCAAAGCAGAACCTGCACAGAGAGTTTTCACTTGATATCATCAACCTACTTTTAATGAATATGATAAGGATGATCACAAATCGACCACAGTCAATATTAATATTCAATTAAAAACCTTTAAAAACGGTTCCATGTAAATATAGTTTTGCACAGTTCATTTAATTGTATCTGTCTGTTTTATCTCTCTATGCACCTAAGTGCCTGGTCCTCCACTACACAAACAGCTGCTCTCTGTAAGTCTCATGAAGTTGAACAGTGACACAACATTATTTCTGCTGTGTGCAACATTCTCTCAGTCCCAGCAGGCGGCTGACTCAGGGTTTTTAGCACCACAGCTTTCTCAAGCACATCATCTTGCTTTGCTTTTATTCCAGCGAGTTGTAAACATTTATTCAGCATTAAGCTCTCTCACTATTTCAGGTTATGAAGCCAAGTTTACTGTATCTGTGAGAATGACACATAACTGATTGCACCCCTGGTCGATATCACTATAATGATAAATTATAACTAATCATGTCTATTTAATAAGTTGTATTTGTTTTTAATCAAAGCCKAAGAAGAATGAAGCCAATTAATTTAGATAAGAGAATTAAATGACTGAATAATATAAAGTTCATATTAAACAACCTGCTGCAACAAAGGTTTCCTTTCATCAGTGACATTCCTTTCTTTAATTTTTATTTTTTATATTTTGTGTGTCCACTCAGTACTTTTGATGACAGATCTAATCCTCCTGGGTGTGGATGATATCAGTCTTCTTCACAGATGAGTCTTGTCAGCTGCTCTTTGCTGGAGGGTTTTGTTGCTCTTTCCTCTGCTTTAAAACACTTCAAATGTTTTCTATTAGAATCATAGTGAGAGGACATATAGGTCATTGTCTTTTTATTCATTATAAACTCGTTTGTGATTTTCTTAAGTGTTTGAGATCGGTGTCACGTCTGGAAATTCTTCTCCTGTCGAGCTTCTTTAGACTGGGTGTCATCTTTTATTCAGTATTTGGGAAAACAAACTTCTTCCATCTAGAAATGTTATCTCTGCACATGGTACACACAGAAAACATGCTGGATCCAGACAAATGTGTTTAAGTTTTTTGAGTTACGATTTTTCTCATTTATTTCTCACCCAAAGAGTTAGACTTCATGCTTCATGCAGCGTCCTTCACTCTGTCGGATCAGCGACCGAAACGCCATTTTCCACAGATAACCCTTGTACCAAGTCAGAAGCACTTAGACGTCTGTTTCTCAATGCAACGCTGCGCAAATAGTGAATCATGCATGGCGTCATTTTTCAAGGACGGACAGTGTCCCTTCTGTTATTGGTGGTGTGGCTCTCCCTGTTCCTCCCTCCCACCTGCTGCTGCTGTGTTTCAGCTTCAGTAGCGTCGTGATGCTTCATCTTTAAGAAGTTTCACAGACTGGTTTCTCACTGGTTCAGGCAGGTCCTCATCATATGGAGCCATCTTGCATTAGAGACACTCCAGGTGAGACCTGGGGAAGACGTGGTGCTCACAGGTTATCTTGGAACCTTGTGCCTCAACTGGAAATCACAGATGTATTTACACATATTTGTTGCAGACGTGTTCACTCTTGTGGCACTGGGTTCGTTGTACTTTGGATTCCATATATCCAGTTCTTAAAATGATACATAACATGAAATTCGTAACACTTGAAATTGAAAATAATGTAATTATTACCTTCGGCAAGGTGGTCAGGACTTCAGCTGTGTTTGTTTGTTTGCATAAATTTGTCTGTCTATTATTTAGCAGGATTACACATAAACTACTTAATTGGATTACCATAAAACTTGGAGGATGTATGTGGTATGGGTCAACATTGTATTTGATTTCACAGAAAATATTTCATGGATCGAGGACAAAAATCTGCCATGTTTAGGGGACTGATATTTATGAATGTGTGCAGATGCAAATAAAAAGCCTATCTAGTGAATTTCAATGTGGTTTCATGAGGGGACTGTTGGGCCTTGATGGAGGAATTTGCTCTACAAAGTATCTTGAAGTTGTAAAATATATATATGTTTTAGAATTGTAATAATATTGACCAGGGGCTGTTCTTAGTTTTGGTGTATCTTTGCACTCCCCTGCTCTGTGCCGGTGGATGTCTTTGTGAGTCTGTATTAGGAGAAATCTTGAGTCGGGATCTCCACCCGTCCCCTGAACTTTCGGTGTCCAGTCCAGATCGACATCATATACCTGAGATGGAGTCGGCTCTGCTTCTGGAACAGATAATCCAATGAGAGCTCATAAACTGTACACACCACCTGAGAGGTGCACCATAACACACATAACACATGTTCACACTGCTCAGCAGGAGGGAACAGATGACCTCTGGATTATTAAGAAGTGGACTGTGTTAGCACTGAAGAGACTGAACCACAGACTACAGCAAAGGTCAGCACATCACATGATATACTGAGTGTGTTGTGTTGAACTGTGTTTATGTGATCTTTTTTATATCAGGAAAGGATTTAAGTGTTACTTTCTCTTAGGCTAAGCCATAATGTCTATGATTCCATACTTAAATCCCTTCTTAACAAAATCTCATCTCATCTGTGGTCTCATCTGCTTCTCTTTTCATTTTGTTTACCTCTGTTTACTTCTGGTTTAAGCAGCTCAAATAAGGGGAAATCTGATCCAAGCAGTAAAATGCCACCATGAATACATCTCTGCTAGATTCAGATACCTAGATATGTTACACATATTTTACAGAGAGGCGCTGATGACGAGTGAAACCTTTTCAACCTTCATGAACGTTCGGTTCCACTATATTATAGATGTACCTGATAAAATGCCAACTCAGTGCAAGTCTGTTTGATCCATATTTTCATCCATTAAGAACATTCTGTTAAATGATTAAGTGGAAATTATAAAATATAATTATATAATATATATCTTTTCATCCCCAACCTTTCACTGCTGATGCTGCTGCTTTTAAAGATAAAAGTGCATAGTCTACAAGTATTGGAATAAAGTGGATGCTCTGCTCTTTATTACCCATTGACATAGTGGATCACACTTTCTGAGCTGATCTTTCTATCTTGATCTTTTTTCATTCACCACCAGTGAATTTACATTTACACGCTGCTTTTTGGAACATGCTCCGTTTTTGGAACATCCTCCGTTTTTGCTCTTCTGCTATCTGAAAATGTGTGTTTCTGTTTTTGTGTTTTGTTTCTCTCTTTTTTTGTTACTGTGTTGCACCTCGGAGCACAGAACTTTGTGGATTGTGGGCTGTTTGGTCTTCATCTTCCTGTTGAAGCACGTTAAAGATGCTCTATCACAGAACTGCAGACTTTCAGGTTATCAGATTCACAAACATGCAAACTTGAGACTAGCATGGCACGCAGCAGAGCATAGACATCCACCAAGGCCCCAACAGTCCCCTCAAATTGAATCAAGCTGCTTTTAACACTCATAGATATCACTTCCAAAGAAATTTAGCTCTGCAGTGTGTACAGCACAGGTACTTTATCAGATTGTATCATTTCCATGTGCTGTACTTGTGTTTTAAATATGCAGCTCTTCGTGGATTTTCTCTTAGACGTCAAACTTTATTTTCTCTGTAACCTTCATTATGTTTTGTGCGTGGGTACGTTTTGCCTCAACTCTTTAAGAATCCAGTGTATTCTGTGTTATAAAATCTTTACCCCTGACTGGTTGGTGTGCAGTAATGTTGCATCACTTTCTGAATGTTGCTGCAGAACGTCTTTGGTCATGAAAAGTCTAAACCAGCCACTGATGGATGGGTCTCGTTGAGAATCATCATTGTTTGGGGTCTTCAAAGATTTCCCCAAACTTCTCTCCTAACATTCAAATTCTCAGATCACAGTTCCACTTGCACTTCCCGTCAGATCGAGGACTGGACACCTCACCTGTGCCATTTAAATACACACCACACACATGCTCTGTGTTCACAGCATGTTGTTTTTGCATGTTCTCTTCCTTAGTGAGAACAGAATGTCAGTGTCACACTGACATCTAGTGGAATAAAGTATTAGTGCATGTGTGAGCTGTTGAGTGAAGGAGTCGGTATGGAGGGTCACTATCACACTGTGTAGTAAGAACTAGTCTTCAGCAACAAATGGAAAATATGTAGCAGCATTTTATTTTAAAAGTAAAATAGACATCTTACATATTGGTGGAGGGAAAACAAACTGCAGGTTGGGTAAAAAAAGTTAAATACAATCAATAGTTTAGCTTCTGAAGCTTGGTGTTTTCACTTGTCAGTTCATGTAGCCAAGCTACTGGTCCCCAAGTAAAATATGGCCATGTGTTGTCCAATAAAATGTCCCAAAAAAATTAAAATTAAAAAAAAAAGAAAAAAAAAAAAGAGTTGAACCAAAAAGAGCAACACCCTATTAATTACAAAAAAATATAAAAACACACACGCATACACTCACTCCCCTGTTCCATCATGCAAAGCCCACTTTATAGCAGCACATAGAGCCAAACATGACCCTAGCAATAGTTTTTGGGCAAATGAAGCCACTAATGGAAAAATAAAACAATCACCATTAAAACACAGACACACACACACACTCACGATCGAATACAGACTCCATTACACACAATTTGGCCTCTGCATAGAGAATAAAGATGACAACCATTAAAAGTAGGTGTGGCTGGAAATTGATGTAAGGATGAGGGTTGCAATGCTTAAATGTTTAAAAAAATGAAAATGTCCATCCCTACTGGTCCTTTGTTTTGATCCAAAGTGGAGGGTTCAATGGGTGAGGTTCCTGTGGGGAAGTTGTTCACTGATTATCAGTGCGTGTTGCCCCCACACTTAAAAGCATCTGGATCCAAGTAATCAGCATCGCTTTGAAATGACTCAATTCCATTTCCATCAGTGTCTCCCCAACAAAAATCCATTCAATCGTACACGTTCACTGGTACTGCAGAGGCGTCCACACAGGCAACACATGGAGGTCGCTTCTTTCCTACAGCCATAATGTAAAAAAATCTAATTGGGGTTCGCTGTGGTCTCGTCATCTCACAGTGGTTGCGTCTCTACTTTGGAGAATGTCGCGGTGGAGATGCAGTATTCATCCTCGGTCTAATTTTCAGGACAGGGGGATCCACTCGGACCAGCTCGTCAGTCTTCTCACTGCTCAGGGGTGGAGTCAGGACACCTGAAGGGACTGAACAGCTGCTGTGACACTTCAAGTCCACATCCTGGTAAGAGTAGGCCTTGTCCTGTACACAGCAGAGATAAACAGGGATTAACAGGAGAGCCGATGGGGTTCTGTGCTTTCCTAAAATCGGAGTTTGAAGTTTCTTTTTAGGACTAGGTGATACATCAGTGCATTTCTGTACTTTCTTAATTACAGTTGAAAATGATCAGGTTACAAGAGGTCATACATGGCGCGTATGTGACCCGAGACACTCTCAAACTGACAATGACCAAAAGAAAAGAGTCAAGACGATGCTCAAGACAACTTGAGTGTCACAGACCTAAACCCTACAGATCATCTGTGTAGAGACACTTCCTATCCAATCTAGTTTAACAGAATGTACTGGGAAGAAAGTCATCAACTGTACATCCAGAGGAATTAAGGCTCTGAAGCTCTTTGTAAATGAGCGATTACAGTTCATTTTGAATAAATAACTAACAATTTCTCACTTACCAGCCATGTGAGATAAGAAACATGGGTCTGGATGTTGTGCATGTCATCTGCAGGGATTCCTGTGTACGTTTTCATAGGCGACCCGCCCAGCTCCCGCAGTGCCATGGCAAATGGAACCATCCACCTCACACACTCCTCCACCTCCACCCTCTTCAAAGCTGCACAGAGAGAAGGATGAAGTCAGGACAGCAAGAAAAAAAAACTGCCAACGCTTTAATAAAACTTGAACTCAAGAAGAGTTCATCTAAAATTAAGTGGGTTTGTTTTATTTTTACCTGAAACGTTTTCCACCAGCTCCAGAGAGGAGAAGTGAAACAGAGCGGACGCAGCAAGGAGGCCATTGGAAAACTCAAGGCAGCGCACATCAAGCATACAAAGGTCCAACAACTAGAAAAACAAGAGAAGAGCTGAACTTCAACAATCTTGAATGCATCTGCTTTTAAAGATCCAATATTATTTCATGAAAAAATGATGGAAAATACATTTTGCAACATTAAGGAGAGAGATAACTTTTGAGAAGATCTGCACCATCATTAGTGGGTTCTTCTTCACCCATGCCCCATCGTTATCCTAGAAATACATAAACACACATAGACGCATACCTCTGCTATCTGTGTGAATGTGGCCTGTGGATATCTGGGGATGAGCAGGTCGTCCGTGTCTTTCAGGTAAGCCACCTGCATGTACACATTGAGCCAGGAGATGGGAGTCTGCGGGCTCAAACTCCACTTCAGCTCCTGTGTTAGAAAAGAGGGAACACGTCAACAACCATCACCAACAGAAATACAAAAACCTTCAACTTCAACTTGAATTGAATCAAGGTTTTACAGGATTGTCACAACAGAATAAAACATTTTGTTTTTCATGTAATAGAAGAAAAGGAAGAGGGCAATTGGTGACAGGTGATGGGTAACTAAGGGCCATTATATTAACAAATCAAATTCTACCAACACTTCACAAGTGGGTGTGAAAGGACACTTAGATATATGCAGAAGAGCTCATACTAATGTAACCTGGATCTAGCATCTTACATATTATCTAGGCTGTGGCAGCCTGTCATTGTCTTATTTGTCCTGCTAGTTTCATAATGAATCGACTTTTTCACTTTTCATAAAACAAAAGATCTGAATGAGTTGTGCAACACTCTTTGCCCACTTTCACTCTCTCTCTCTCTCTCTTTCTCAAAAACAGTCTTGTCTTTCACAGGCAACATCCACATTACTACGTATTCATTTCTAAATGAAAAACCCTGCTACACATAAACCTGGCGTCCACACTGCTCTGAGATGTTTTAGAGCTGCTTAAACTGAGAAGTTTGGAAATGCTCCTGGCCTCAGCATTTTAGTCTAGACGGGCAAGAACTGAGATGTTTGGTAAATGATGACATGAACACTCAAAAACACTTGTTGATTGGGTCTTTGTTCTTAACGTAGCCTTTGCTGATTACTCAGGCTCCTCACATGACCAGAAGAAAACAGCCGACATGAGCCTCAGCTACCAGTGTAGAACGCATCTTGTAGAATCAATTGGAAGCTTTGCTGATCCTTTTGTCTATAACAGCTATTGTGCAGTTAAATTCGGCATTTTACAATGATACGACTGTTTACATGAGCAGGAGACAAGCTATTATTCGAGCAATCTGTGACAATAATGCATCCAACAAGTTAATACTTCTTGTGCACACTGGGACGCGCATGCCAAGTGTACTTGAGTAATCATGTGATGTATGGAGGGGTATTAAAACTGATACAGTTGTTGTTTTAGTAGTAGTATGGATGTAGCCCCAGTCAGACCGGTCATCGCTGCACCAGGAGAAATCCTAATATGTCACCAGCTGTCAAAACGTCCGTCCTCATCTCCTTGCCCCCGATACCCAAGCTACCGCCACAGACAGAACCAAATTCTGTGGTAACAGTTGAGTAGAGTAACATGCATGTTCTTTACCTTCATAATAATGATTTCCATACTGAGAATCTCATCTTCAGTGCAGGCCTCGTCTGTAACATAGGCAAACTGGTGGACCTTGGGAGGATACATTTCCTGGGAGAGGCAGAGATACAGGGGCATAAAATAACCAATCATACCAACGTGCATATTGTAGAATGTTGCAGGAGAAAAGGGGAAACTAAGATGATGAAGGTAGAACAAGCTCACAACACACACACACACACACACACACACACACACACACACACACACANCACACACACACACACACACACAAAAGGCTGACACACAGGTTTCGTTCATCCCACCTCCCATCTCGTGCAGTCCCCCAGTTCTCACCTCTACTTTGGCAGCGATGAAGAGACAGGTGATGCCTATGAGCTGCAGCGTTGATTTGAAGACGTTTCTCTGCGTGGCCATGAAGCGATCAAAGTAGTCCTGAGCCAGGTGGTATGTCTCCCTGTGCAGTTTGTACACCTCGCTCACCTGAAACATTAAAACAAACAGACCATTACTGCACTGATGAGGCCTCCTGGGACCTCAAAACCACGTTCACAGCATGTTTGTTTACGTGAGCGATATTAAATGGCACTAGGAAGTTCTATTTAACAGGAGGAGCTTGTCCTGTGGCAAAGGGCGACCAATTCTGTGTCGAAGCTACGCCGTAGCCTACGCGTAGAGGTGCACACCACGCAGAGCCCTACACCATACCCAACGTACACCTCCCCAAAAATGTAACTAAGCGTTGAGGCGACACAGAGCGCAAGAGCTGTGATTGATCAGTTTGGTGGCATCGCATTTCCGGCAGACTCGCCACCTTTTTTTTTTTTTTTTTTGATTTGAAGGACTGAACAGGCACGACGTCTTTCTTTTCTTTGGTGCAGTTCTTTAAGAAAAAGTAATTACTCTTCAACATCTATCTGCTCCAGCACAATCTGCTTAGTAATAGGGCTGGGCGATATCACTTCAAATCAATATCACGATTATTTCGATCTTGTGTCTTTTGTGATGAGGTTCCACATTATCTCCAGGCAGCCCTTATCACCATAATTCATATGGATTTACACTTTGATATGAAGAGGACCTAAAATCAAAAGGCTAACACTGATAGAGTCTCTACTAAACGTGATAAGGGCCAAATCAGACTGGTTGATCTCATGAAGAGATCATAAGTCATTGCAGCTCATTATTCTACTTCAGAGCAACATTCAAAGAAATGTTCCCACTGCCAACCAGACACTGTTCAGTAACTGAACTGTTTGTGTCACAGGCTGATGACACTTTTTTTCATGGCGGACATTTTGTTTTGGGAAATGTACAGGTGTAAGCACTGGCGTTAATCAGTGGGACTCTCTCTTATACTGTCACAGGACATCAAAATGTCTGCTGGGGGAATTTGCAGTTAGATTCTCTCAACTAGAATAATTTCAAAAGCGGTTAAAGTTTAGTGTTGCTCGTGTTCTGCAGTAGAGTTTCCACTAGTGACAGGGACATAAACCTGAGAACTATTCTGTAGTCATGAAACCGAAGCTGGTTTCAGACATCCACTGAACTCCAGATAGTCTCCTGATATTAAACGGAGTTTCTCCAGAGTTTCTCCTGCCAGCCCCTTGGTACATCTCTGGGTAATGTCCGATTACATCTTACACCAGGTACATCTGCCTGCTGCACCACCCTTAGCCTGAGTGCTACTGCTGTGTTGTCCATATGTGGAGAGAAAACACCAGCGAAAGATCAGATGCAATTGTGCAGACATTCTCCGCATTCATGTTTAGATAAGGTTAAAACATTATTTTTAACTCTTCTGCTGACTACAGAAACAGAAAGTATCTGAGGCAGTTTGATCTGATGTGTGAACCAGATGATGGTTACAAATACAGCCTTTACTTTCTCCTGCCCTCGACACAGCTGAAACGATCAAACTTTAATCGTTCACAGTCACGTTGATGAATGATTTTAAACTGGTCAACTGAGACGTGTTACCCACCTCCATGAGCCAGTCCAGGAGAATAGCTCTCATCTTAGGCTGCAGATGAGGATGCTTCTCCATCACGTGGACGTCTCTGGTGTAGGTCTTATCCTTCTCCAACATGTTGCTCCACACCACATCCTTACTGGCCCAGCTGGTGAACAAGAGTCAACAGAGATGGACACAATAAATACAAGTGGCTGCCGTGAGCTGAATCCTTCACTTTTACCAAAGTATGGTTTACAAAATACTGAGTTAACTCTTTTCAATCAAGTCCCTACAGGGCTGTAATGTATCCCTAGTTGCATAGGTAGTGTTCAACGATCAAACAGAAGAAATCATTTGTGAAGTGAAAGGAGACATAAAATAAAACTGTTGTCTCTATAAGTCTTGATGGGTGACAAGTATAGGAAACAACTTTAGCCCTCCGACTATAAAAGAAGGAACCCCTGTCTGTATTGACTTTCTCAACATCTCATCTGATGGACTTTAAACTTGGCTGGTGTGTTACTGAGGAACCGAGGAAGTTTATTTGGATGCGTAGTTGTTCTTTTGATCAGTTTTAATACATGTCCTTACTAACACACATCACATGACCACTCATGTACACTGGGCATGCACGTACCATTGTACGTAGAAAGCATTTGGCTGTGAGTTGCAGAATTGTCGCAGATCGCTCTATTAGTAGCTTGTCTCCTGCACATGTGAACAGTTATATTATTGTAAAATGCAGAATGTAACTGCACAACAGCTGTAATGTGACAGCAGGGTCAGCATTGCGTTCTACACTAGTAGCCGAAGCTAATAGTTGGTTATTTTGAGAGGGGGGGGTCATGTGATATAAGCCTGACTAATAAGCGAAGACTACGTTATGACGGATGAAGACTTTGTGAGTGAATGCATCATCATTTCCAAACATTCCCTTTCTGTCAGTCCAGACTCAACCAAAGTAAAACAGGGCCAGCAGTGTTTCCAGACAGCTCTGGTGTACCGGCTCTTAACTCCAGAGCAGTGAGGACGCAGGCGTATCTGCAGCAGACATGATTCATTTTCAATGGAAATGAAATAATGGGAAGCCTCAGTAATGAAGATTATTTCTGATATGGAGCTAAAATGGTTGTCTATATGGAGATTATTTTAAATACTGATTTAAAACTAAAACCTTGGTGTGGATGTAGCTTTAGATACGAGAGAGAGAGAGAGACAGAGAGAGAGAGAGAAGAGGTGGCAGCAGGATGTGGAGATAATTAGCACCACAACATGAGTACTCACCACAGTGCAGGGAGTGGGGCACAATGCACGGGGGTTGAAAATACGTTGTTGATGATGTAGTGGGGGAAGCCCGCGTTTATAAGAGCAACAGGTCGGTCTTCTTCCTGATCAGGTGTTGGGATCCACCTGTGTGGACTTTTGTAACCAGCACCTGGACTGCAGGTCAGCTGCACAGGACAGAGAGGGGGACAAGGGATGAGAAGGAAAAAGGGAGGATGAGACCATAGCAAACAAACATGTGGCGAGGACGGCTCTCCAATAGGCTGACTGCAAACATTAAGTAAGTTACGTTTATTTAGTATGGCACCGTTCATAGTACAAAGTGCTTTACAGAAGTAAAAGACACCAAGACTACAGACACACTAGTTAAGAGAATAACAGAATTAATCTATTGAGGAGCAAGCAACCATGCTCACATATAAAACACAGCAGTGGTGCATTAGATACAATTCAAATCAAGTGGTGGGGGTGGGTAGATGGGCCACATATACATTAACAGAACTGAGGCATAGGGTGAGGTACACACTTTTACAACCCAGTGTGGAAACCAAGCTTACCTCACAGTCACGCTGCTTCTTCCTCGTCATTTCTGCTACCTCCTCATCCAGATCCTGTAAATACTGCGAATCAGAGGAAGACACAGTTAAGAACCAATGAAAAGCAGAAGTAAATGCATTTACGCTCACATACAAAAGAACACAAGCTGTATCAGTCAGTAAGACTCGAGTGACCCAGGGGACAGTGATGTATGTAAGTGACACACGTCTCAGTTATTCAATCAGGCCTACATTTGCAGGCCAGCTCCAGAAAGTGGTGTAGACCAGCAACAGGCCAGTGACAGGTCCGAAAGCCCAGCACAGCTACTTACTATAGCCACATCTGCCTTCCTCTTCCTCGATCGGACTGTGTTTTCACTGGGAGCAGCAGACTCTGGTTCTGTGTCTTCCCTGTAACACCAAGACACGAGCACATGTAGCCGTGAGTCAGCCACTCCATCGAGCTCAGACACCCATGCTAACATGCTCATAATAATCAGCTCTCACGGCAACAAGCTAACTAGCCCAGTGGCTAAAGCTGCAGCCACTCAACTCTGCTCTCGCTCACTTTGAATGACGCGCCTGGCGAGAGGCGCGCTGCAAGTAAAGAGGGACACTCACCGTTTTCCTCGCATTCTCCTCGGAGGGGTCGGCGTCAGCTTCAGAGTCCACCTGTGGACGAGGGGAGATTTGGGAACTTTTTATTTTAATTCTCAGGGGGGGTTCAAATAAAGCGCACAGCTCCACTCCCAACCCCCACTCTCCGCTCCCTCCCGCTGACAAAGCCCAGCTCAGCCTGGCGCGGGGAAATGGAAACGGTACGTGGAGCTAAAAGTGGCCAGAAGTTCCACAAACAGCAAAGTACACTCAGCACACTCACACACGATGCTCGCCGCACGCTACGCCGTCCACCCGGCCCGGTTGTTCAGTGTATTTTTCATGGGAAGGTGCTAGATTGGCCCCTTGCTAACTTTGAACAGCTGGCTCGGGCACATAATGGCCGAAAGGACCCCGGGCCCAGCTGGGACGCCAGTTTCCTCACCTCCTTATTAAGAGAAACACACGGAGGACCCACAGAGGAGGCGAAGCAGTGCGAGCTCCTGTTGTGACCCTGGGTCCACTGTCTGACCGCAGCATGTTTACTGGAGCTTTAGCTGCGGCAGAAACTAGCTAAACCCAACTAACTCGACAAAGCGCCGCTTCGTCCACTCACCTCAGGATTCGGCCCTTGAAGTTCACTCGCGTCTGGGGGGGGGAAAACACAGGCAAGGTGTGGACTCAGTGCTGGGTCCCCGGCGGCTCACCCTCGCAGCAGCTCTTTGTGTGCGAGTGTGTCTCAGGCCGGGCTGGTTCCTCTGAGCTGGCGCCTTGTAGGGAGGAGTAGCTCGGACTTGGCGCTAAACCTCCAACCTCAGCGCGTCTTTTACGGTTCGGCTCCAGCTCCTCAATCCGCAGCTCTCACACCCGCAGCGGACGCACAGAGGCTATACGTCGGTCATCTTCTATGCGAGGCGTCACACGGCGGCGAAATCAAGTTTGTATTTTAGCAGACAAACAGGAGGCGTGTGGTGACAGCTGCTGGGGGCGGGGCTTAGTAACCGGAAGTGCCCGAGCACCGCGTGGCTAGTCTGTCAGATGTAAACAAAAGCGCGGTTCTGGGGATTCGGGCTGGAATAACACAGCACAGGGCAGAAATGGTGAGAGGTAACCACGGCTTGTCGTTGTGTGGAGTCGGAACAGGGTTCTCAGCCGCTGTCACTGTCTGATATTCAGCGAAACGTGAACTATGCTAACCTGCGGATGTGTCTGCTGGGGACGCCCCATTCACAGCGCGGGTTTTATAGGAGTCCTCACATCCTACTTTGTAAAACTTTTTTTTTTTTTAAGTTTTATTTTGGATCGAGATGCGGTGTTATTAGTGGATGCTGATTTTCTGCATCAACGCTTTGGGTAGATTTTGACGACGGTGATATTTTTTTGACCTTTGGCCAGTTACGTGATCGCCATGTTTAAAACGCACACACAAAAAGGTTTTGTACTTTGGTCCCCGATCGCTTCACTGAAACGACAAGATGAAGTTTTTGGATCTTTTTGGAAGATTAAAGTCTGTGGTTATTGGAATGATCCATGTCAAAGCATTACCAGGTAAGATCACAATCACCTGTGTTCACATGTTTCCAATGGTGGAGGAAATAATAGAAGTAAAATAATAATACCAATCACTGTTACAAAATATAGTGTTTTTATTAGGTATAATATACTTAAGTGTAAGAAATACCTAATGCATGAAAATGGCCTCATGAGAATGTTATCCTGCATATATTATATATTATAGCATTAAATTGTCTTTAGCCATGCATTAATATCTAAGAAACATTCTTACTTCACAGTAGGTTTATGTCTCTGAATTGCGGAGGAGTAAAAGTGCAAAGTGGAATGAAATGACAGTATAAGTACTTCAAATGTACTTAGTTAGATTGTAGGGTTGTGAATCGAGGCGCTATCGTTTTTGATGGATTCTGCTGTATGTGAACACTTTCTCATTTTCCTCAGGCACCCCCCTGGGTTGTATGAAAATGTCACAGATCATTGAGGAGGCGTGCAGGGAGGCATCAATCTACCGTGATGCAGGGATTGTAAGTTATCTCACATTGTGTCCTTATGTATTTTAACTGTCACCTGGCAAACCGGTAATCATTTTTTTACAAATCTTAACTGTGACCTGATAAACCATTCATTGTAACCTCTTCTCCCAGGATGGTCTGATCATTGAGAACATGCACGACATCCCTTACTCATTCTCATTGGGCCCTGAGGTGTGCGCATGTATGACTGCCGTGTGCACTGCTGTGAGAAGCGTCTGTCCGAGCATGCCGCTCGGAGTCCAAATTCTGTCTTCTGCCAACCAGCAGGCATTGGCCGTAGCTCTGGCTTCAGGTTCATACTTTACACCAACAAACCTATTCTTACAAGGTTGAAGTCATCTGGAGTTGAAGCTTGTAGAACAGAACAGAACAAAGACCTCCAGTCATGTGTTATCACTGCCAATGTTTAAATAGACAAACAAACATCACAGCAACTGATGTCACTGTCTGGTAACTCATTCTTATTAATGGTGTGTTGTTGTTCCTGAAAAAGACCAGATACTTGCTTGTCAGATATCAGCTGTACTCAATACAGCGGCCACCAGTTAGTAAACTATACCATTCTAATGTTTTTGTATGATCACAGGTATGGATTTCATCAGGGCGGAGGGTTTTGTCTTTTCTCATGTGGCTGATGAGGGCCTCTTGAATGCTTGTGCTGGAGAGTTACTGAGGTACCGCAAACAGATCGGAGCTGAGCATGTGCAGATCTTCACTGACATCAAAAAGAAGCACAGGTGAGGTCATCGTCTGCACAGTGTGATCAGAAAGTTAACAGCAGAAAAGCCACTGATACACAACAAGTAACTGAAAACATGTTTTACACATAAAACTGTAGCTGTTGACTTAGGACTACTTCACTTTTTTTTAACTGATCCAGTGCCTTACTGTCACTAAATGAAGATCCAGACAGACAGTTTTTTGACTGGAAATAAAACATTAGTTGGGGAGATTTAATGTATTTTTTTGTTTTTCTGTAGCTTTAGTTTGGCTGCCAATTAGGTCTAAAGGGTTTCACCAAATTCAAATCTGTAGTTTGATAAATCTATTATCAAAACCGCTGCAGGGGAAACGTTGGACTGAAGTGTTAAAATGAAAAACCCTTCAGTCGTATTATCGCTCACATATGTAAGAATAAAACCTGTTCACCAAATTGCTTATAGTTCAGTAATGCTGCTAAATGAAAGAGATTTCCAGGTACGGCCTGATAGACAGATAGTTTAGTGTGTTTCTTACTCTGTTTGCAGTTTTCAGGGATGCAACTAATAATGAAGGTAGCATTAGTTTTGTCAGCAGTTATTTTCCATGTGTCTTCATTGTCGACACTTGTCGTAAGTTCCCCCAATTATTCTATATTTGAAGTACAGCTACGTTTTATCCCTGAGACAACTAGATTTTATTTTAGTTTTCATCTCAGCCAGCCATTATTTCATTTGTTGTATTTGTCTATATATTTTATAAATATATATGAGAATTAACTTATTATTAACTAATAAGAATATGAAGGATCTCACACATTACATTTTCTCAGTAAAAATAAAAGACAGAGGCTTGTGCAGGAAACATATTATTTATTGAAAAAGTAAGGATTTTGTGTAAAATGATGAACAATTCATCTCGTGTACTATCGATTAAATCAAAGTTAAAGAGAGAAAAATGTCTTTTCTTCATTTTTAGTAAGAGAGTGAGTTTTCTAGGGTGTTAATACATATTGTTTTAGTAGCCTGACCAACTGGGTCAATAATATCGGTCAATATGAGCCTTTCACAGACATTTTGCTTTTATGTTTGCCAATTCGAAAACCTTTGTTTTAAAGAATAAACAATGCAGAAAAGATGTGCAATTATGTTTACATTTTACGTGAAACAAAATATAATTTATGTCCTTAATTCAAGTTCTAATATACGGTTGTATTTGTGTTTTTATTCATTTATATGTATTAAAGTCAAGTTTTTGGTAAACTATAAAATATCAAGCCTCAATTACATTTCTTTATCATGAGGGTTTCATATCAACATCCTAGAATCATTGCTTTATATTTTTATATTTAATGTTGGCTATACATTTTGCCCCAAAAGAGTGTATTAAGTGTTTACATTGTATTCTAATTTAGATTTTTGTTATGTACTTGAGTTCAGAGTTAGTCTCAGTTTTAATCCCAACTAGTTTTACTAAGTCTGTGCATCCTTGTGTATGTACATTGTATGTGTTTGTCCCCAGCTCCCATGCCCTGACGTCAGATGTGAGCATTGAGGAGACGGCCCGTGCTGCAGAGTTCTTCCTCTCTGATGGACTCATCATCACAGGAGTGGCCACTGGTGCAGAGGCTGACCCATGTGAGCTCAAAGGTACTGCCACAAAAACGTTCATCAAGTCAGCCTTGAGCTTTCAATTTACTTTTGGACAGTAACATATGGCTATAACTGATGTTTCACCATTGATGTAGTGAGTTAGCTGTGATCATTTCAATCAATCATCTGTAGTTTATAAAATGTAAAATAAATGTGGAGAAACACCACCACCTCATTCAGTATATAGTGAATTTAAGTCACTGCATAGTCTGTCCAGTAGAGGGCACGATCACCAGAGTTCCTGACCGTAGTGTTATGTCCACATTGGTTATAGGACAGGACACAGGTCAGCAGGCACCCAATATGGCACACACACACACACAGACACACACACACACACACACACATTCTAACCAGAAGCCTAAAACCAAGTCTTAACCCTCAAACAACCCTTCAACAAAGTGAGGATCAGCCAAAATGTCCTCACTCTGTCGAGTCTATGCTCAAAATGGTCTTCTCAAAGTACACACACACACACACACACACAGTATATTCAGTGAAGTGTCAATGGATATGAATGATATGAAGCCTGAACTCCTCTGGCAGGTTAAAGAGTTGTTCCATCAGGCTGGAGAGGAGCCTCAGCACAGGGTAGCTGTTGACTTGGTGGTGGAGGTGAAGGTGATGGTGGTCGTCAGCCTCCCGGTGAATACTGAGCAGTATACACAGAATACACATTACTCATTCCAATACTTGTAGAGTTGACGATTGACTCATTTCCAGAAGATTGTGCTCAACAGTTGCCATCATTATTGTAGTGTGCACACATGCAGAAGCACACAGTCTGAATACCGTTCATGAGAGGACCACTGAATCATGCTTCATCCGTGTCGGCATGAATGATGACTGGATCTAAGGAAAGTCAAGTTGAGGAAAGACACAAAGAAAAGATTTTCTTGTGCTGAGTACTTTCATTTGGTGTAACTTTATAAACCTCCACCACATTTCCAGTGGTTCACCGTGATTTAGTCAAATTCCTTTTCTGACACATACAGTTTCAGGTGCACTTAGCAAGACAGCTGAATTCCATGACGCTGCTTCAGTTTCAGTGTCCAAGCGTTGTGCACGCTGGCTCACTGTCATGGCCTCGTGGAACAATTGAATAGATTCCAGCCAATGTTAGTAACACCTGTGCTTTTTACTGTGACAAGTGTCTTCCATGAAAAAGAACAATGAAAAAGGATGTGATGTCGTATGATGTGTAGCTTGACAGATATCGCTCATAGCAACAAACCCACAGAGATTTAGTACCCGTTTAGTCTATTGTCCTCTGCCCTAGTTTTTTTGCCTCTTCTAGAAGTTTCCACTGATTTAAGAACAAAAGCTCAGATTGACCCACTGTTTATCAGCCCCAAGCAGACAGACAAAGTTAGTCAGTAACTGGTGAACATAGAGGACCTCTGAACAGTTCAAGAGACCAAAACAAAGCTAAAAGAAGAGTCAATATTGGACATATTGGATTATTGATGAACAGACACATGAAATTATGCTAATGTTGCTCCATATCCACTCCATGAGTGAAAAGGCCACTATTTGTTAATGTGTTCACAGTATGAACATTATCTGGTCAAAGTTGTATTTAGTTTTTTCTGTTGCCCAGTGGACTGTCTTCAGTCTTGTACTTGTGGTAAGTATTTTTTTTCGTATAAAAGAAAATCAAATTGTTTACTTAATAAATAAATTCACTTAATAATTTACTTAAATTTTCTTTTGCGCAAAACATATAAGCAGCCTAAAAATGTGATGCAGTAGATAATCAATAATACTGCCTATATGTTAATTGTGGATCAGATAATAATAAATCAATTCCAAAATGGCCCAAATGTTATCTAAGCACCTGGACTTTAAATTCTTGACTACATTGACCTTTTACTACTAAAGTAAAATGAAGTATTTTTTACTTTTAATGGAGTATTTTTCCATGGTAGCCTACCACCATAATTCAAATTCTTCACTGGATTAATCTGTGGGCTGTGGTAAAAGATCCCCAGGTCTGTATCTGCCAAGGGTCAGTTGGTCTGAAATTGGGACAGTGTCCCTCACATAGCAACACTATGTTATTTTAAGAAGCTTCCAACACCACATGCACGACAGTAAACACTTGGAGCACACACACACACACACACACACACACACACACACACACACACACACACGTTCACTCTCTTGTGAACCTAAACTTGCAGCCTCTGGTCAGAGTTCACACGCCTGAATGGAGGTTGGACTCTGCTGTGTGCAAAGATCACTGGGTGTATCACAGTCTCTCTTGGTTAAGCCCCCTCTCACCAGTACTACAGACACAGTGGAGACAGGTGCAGAATGCTACACTGAGCTACACTGACATGACGTTAGATGCAGTTTACACATTTGGTTTTAACTCTGTACTGTACATTTTGTATGATTAGATCTAAAATGCATCAATGAACATGAGTTGGTGAGAGCTGGGTATTCAATAAAGCTTTTGGATGACTTGATATTGCTGAAATTAATATTTTTAATATTTAAAAAAGGTGATTTGCTGTTTCTTTGCTTTTGCAGCGGTTTCCCAGTCTGTGAGAATCCCAGTGCTGATTGGCTCTGGAGTCACCTATGACAACATGGAACGCTATCTTGATGCAAATGGGATGATCATCGGTTCTCATTTCAAGGAGAGTGGCCACTGGGCCAATGCAGTCAACCCAGAGCAAGTGAACAGGTTCATGGGAAAGATTCGTCACCTTCGAAAATGACCTATTAATAATGATCAATTAGATTTTCAAGTCTTAAAAGGTTTTCACTTTACTTAAAAAACCTCAGAGATACTACAGGTCTTAAATGTAATAGTCAAAGAAGCTTAAATCTTCACTGCTGTAGAAAGTTACATTAGTAATGAAGCTCAGTGTCCATTTTCTGCACACAGGTCACATCAATTCATTCATTATTTTATTAGGAATAGTGATTTGATGCAGCTTGAATATACTGATAAATTTACAGGTAAATGTCAATACATGACTGTTTCTTTGTATTTTTAAAAAGAAAATCATAAATTGAGTTTGAAGAGACCTGTGCATGTTTGTACTGCCATAATAAACAGAAACCAGCTTAAGAAAACAAGATTTATTTTACGTTTTTTTGTACATTTTTATAAATACACACAAAATAGAAAAACATAATATTCAACTGTATTTACACGTGTGAGTCAAAAATAAACAATTTGCGTGGATTGAAAAAGGTGGGTACCATCAAAGTACATAACGGTACACTTAATACAAAACTTAAACAGTGGTTTTGTAATTATCCCCTAAAATGAATCTATTGCAAACAAATAACATTTATTTTAGGGAATTCAGAGATAATATTTCACATGATATGGATACTGTACAGGTGCACATGGTATGAAAGTAGCCATTAATATACTTGTCACAAGAACATCTAAAGCTAAGGCACATAATATAAATCACATAGAATACAACCGTGGACTAACCACTCAGTCTGCCAGCATCAAACTGCATCATACGTCAGAGCAAAGAATTCTACAGGAAAGATTTTTTCTAATTAGAACAGTGTCACACATTTCAAAAGTAATAACTTCACACCAAAACAATCCAAACAAGTCACACAACTCAAATGTTCTCATCCAAAATGTACACGTGCCTATCTTTGAATAGTAACTTCACACGTTTTTTAATGTTTTGTGAGGAACTGACGGTCGCTCATGATATCAGGAGATCGAGGTTCATTGTTCTCAGCATTTTCAGATGTGATGGCTGCCAACGTTAAAGTCAAAATGAAAAACTGTTACAGTGTTGCAGTGAAACCAGAGTATTTCAGAGTCGAGGCACCATGCTGCTCACTGGGCTGTGGTGGAGGCAACCTGAGACACACCCTCTCTCACAAAGCAGTTTCACTACTGCTTGTTAGTAGTTGTAGAGGCGCTGGCAGGGCTGCTTGAAGTGGCCGTAGCGCTTCTCTGCTGGGGAGAATCGCAGCTTGGCTAAATTCTGCCTGTGGAGGGAGCTGCGGCTCAGCTTCTTCCGCTCAGCCTGAGTCCTGGCCCTCTGGACAGCCAGCAGCTGGATGTTGCAGGGCAGAGGGATTCCCCAGGCAGCCAAGCGCCAAGAAATACGCTGCCTCACTGCCACCGGCCTGGACAGACACATGAATGAATGTTAGAGTATGTGTTGATACTACTTTAGGTGAAATAATAACATCAGATTTGGGTTAAATCTTGAGGTAACAGTGTTTATCAGCATGAAAATGCAGCAGTCATCAATCAAAAACTCTTTAGTCTATCCTTTAGTCTTTGCATTAAATATGGTGAAGCATGAGGTGACCATCAGGACACAGTTTGATATGATTTGTGGTTTATTTGCCAAACTTCTTTTTTTGCACTCTTGACTAGCTAACCATCTCTAGCTATAGCTACATACAGTATTTAACCGTCCAGACAGAGTGGTATCGATAATCTCACAACTCTGTAAGAATACCGGTGAGCATACCTCCTGATGTGCCAACCTATTCCCTCCTGTCGTCATGGACAACATAACAGTAATGAACTTGCGTGTCAACAGAGCGGTTTCAGTAACAGCTGAGCCATCAGGTGATTCTAAAGAGTAACAGTCCTTGCACAGATCATCAAGAGACAAGTGAGAACAAAAGCAACGTGACTGATCTGTTCTTGACCTCATCAATGGCTCCATAAGCTAAGCACTACAACAATGAAGAAACACCTTGGATGACAGAGAAGCTGACAAAGAAACTTCTCTGGCTCCTCCTGACCTCAACCTGATCTTGAATATAAACAAGCAGGACAAAGCTTCAGCTGCCATTTTGAGGTATAACTGAAGAATTTCAGGTGACCTTGGCAAGCCAGGTCATCGTGCTGTGAGACTGCACAGATGTTAAGTTCAGGGAACCTGGAATCAAGATCTGTACGCTGGTAACGTGGCCAGCAACTTCAGTAGGGCAGTAGCAAAAGGATGCCAGGACACTGGCTGTGAGACACTGTTGTACTGAGGCCCATAGGAGAGCAGGAACCTCGTCCAAACAAAAATCAGGCAGATGGAGGCTGAGGGGAGGCAAACCCAAGCAGTCCAAATGAGAAAGCATGGCAAGTGGACATCCTGGAAATGAGTCAGAGAGGGAAAGAATTTGTGGGCTGACATTTGGAAGATGGAGCCCAGCAGGATAAAGTTCATCCTCCATAGCATCTATGACCTTCTCCCAAGTCTAACAAACATTGTCCTGTGGGGACTAAAACAAGACCCAAGCTGCACATGTTTGGAGAACTAGTCACTCTGGAACACATATTATGTGAGAAAGCACTCACAAAGCAAAGGTGCAGATGGAGGCGCCACAAGGTCCTGGCAGTAAAACCATCACAACTGGAAGTTGAGGCCAAGAAGCTGAACAAAACACTCGTCCGTAAGCAGAGAGAGAGAGAGAGTCTGGCACCCATGATGGGGGCTTGGAGCAGGAACAGACTAGGAGCAGACCTCAGAAGATGCCTCATCTCCCCTAGGAGATTTACTTATCTGGTCCAAAAGCACAAGGAACATCATCATGCCGGAGCTGGTGGTCAAAGTGGAAGTGAGGATAAAGGAATCATTCAATCCAAAACTCTGTAAATACCAGGCACTGGTGAAAGAATGCATTTACAACAGATGGGAGGTTAAGCTTCTACCTGTGGAGGTCAGAGCAAGAGAATTTCCAGGCCAGTCACTGTGGAGAACACAGGGCTGACCCCCAAAGACACAAGTCACATTTTATCAGTCGAATCAGTGCATCAAAGTATTAAAGGTCCAGTCTGTAGGATTTTGTGATATCTAGTGTTTCAACATGCAACTTCAGTTGCAGCTGAACACCCCTCACCTCACCCTCTCCTTCTAAACATGAAAGAGAACCTGTGGTAGCTTCAGTTGTCATAAAAACTCAAAAGGTGTTTAGTTTGTCCAGTCTGGACTAATGTAAAAAACATGGCGGCCTCCGTAGAGAGGGTCCCCTCCATGTAAATATAAAGTATTTAAATATAAAGGGACTTTTCTGGGGTAAAGAAACTACAATTCATACAATTTAGATTAACGTACTAGTGAAAACATCATGAGGATTATTCTACATTATATTTCTGCCAATAGTTCCCTCTCACCTAAATCTTACACACTGGACCTTTAAGGAAAACAGCACGGCAGGCTGTAAACTCGAGTCTTGTCTCAATTGAGCCAGTAATGCCTGGACAGTGGGAAGAATTGCCTCACTGTCAACAAAATTACACATTGGCTCAGCAAGATGGGGGTTGTTCTCCAAGATGAGCCCACGAGCAACTCGGCAAAGATGAGACACAACATCCCCACTCGAGCCTCCAGCTGTTTCTCTATGAGCAGCCGCAGCCGTGACAGAGAAGAAAAAACAGAACTAGCTTGCTGGACCTAAAATCTGACAATAATGCCGGATATATAAATTCCGAGACAAACTTAATCAGTTAAATCCATGAAGTCCGAACAGCTGAGAATCTTCATGTGGAAGAATGCAAAACTTCAGTATGAAGGACAGGATGGCCGGTCTGTGCAGAGGAGGAGCTCTGTGAATGGTCATGCCAGGAGGCGTTTCCTATAGTGAGATACTATGCAAGGTTTGAAAGAGGTCAGCAGGTTCATGAGGACACTGCCACTGTCAGAGTTGCACGTTTATAACTGAACTAGACACTTTATTTCTTTATTTGTGTGGAAATCTCATGTTTTCAAATCAAAGGTCACGAAAAGGCCCAATAGTGTGAATATTACAGGTAAACGTGATATTTGAGGTAATATGAGTGTGTGCAGTGTGACTATATCCAATAGTTGAAGTACTTAATCTCCCCTTGACCAACAACAACAGTAAAATGCTGCTCACACATGAATCAATCCAATGGTATACAATTATTTTCTGCATAAGGAGCACTTTTACTTTTAATACTTTAATTATACTTTACTGACAACACTACTTTTAATAGAAATTCTGAATTCAGGGCTTTTACTTGTAATTAAGTATTTTTACATTGTGTTACTGTTTTTTGGCTTACATAAAGGAGCAGAATATTTCCTCTTCCATTGCACATGTACAATAATGTACAGTGAACTTCTCAGTATTTAACCTTTGCAGGTGAAAACCACTGTACCTCTCATCTTGTATATTGTTTTATATAATCTATAATGATCCTATTTTGAAATGTGTAACTTTCCATGTTGGAAGCTCAGTCTAGGAAATAAGGAGTTAAGTTACAGGAATTTTGGCCTCAAGATCTAAAACAAGTGTGTGAGCTGGAGTGTCTGAATGGAAAGTAACCTGGGGGTGTCCTCTTCGTCTTCGTCAGAGCCTTGCTCCTCCTCCTCCTCCTCCTCCCCACTCATCCTGGGTCTCATCTGGTAGACAGACATGCTCGGGTGCTCGATCAGCAGGTTCTCGAGTGGATCCATCTCAGGGACTGACAGCGACCCGTTCTCTGTGTGAGGGACATCCCAGTTTAAACAGATCAGTTTTCGTCCTGCTCTCAGCTGTGGCCTCACTGTGACCAAAGAGTGTTTGAAGTCTCACCTGGGAGATTAACAATGACCCATCCTCCCTCCTCAAACTCCATCAGCTCCTCAAAACCGTCCTCTGCTCCCTCAAAGTCCTCGTCTGTGTTCCAGAGCAGTTGAGACAGAATCTTTCCGATCATCTTTATGCCTCTGCTTCACTCTGTAAACGACCAAACACAATCAGGTGAACTGCAGCAAAGACCTGTGAATAAGTTTAGGTAGTGTCCTCCTTAACTTCCTCTCAGCTTGTGTCTTTAACAGAGCAAACAGCTCCCCCTGAGGCCGACTCAGTAAACACCCCAAAGACATGTCTAGACACCTGCTCTTTATCAACAAGTGCTTCCATTACGCCTGCTTAGAAACCGGAGCTGCCTAAGTTGTTGCAGGGGGGGGGGGGGTGTTATGGTTAGGGTCATCATGTAAAACTTGGAGAACATCATGATGCAAGAGGCTGGAGTTACAATGATTTAAGCAGCATTATACAATCTGTAAACAGTAGCGTAACTTTCATTTGGGACCACAGTTGACTGACATTTATTTCAACACTGGGTATCCCACAAGCTTGAATCCATCATTCTGTGACATGTAGTGTAAATCAACAGTGTTTGCTGATAGTCCTTGCTACAGGTTACCATTACTTTTGTATTTATACGTACTGTTGTACGAAGGACTTGAACTGTGAGGTCACACTGACAAAACAAGTGAGAGTAGTCACAGTAGAATTGTGTAGAGATAAAATAAGGATTAATGTAGGTCACTGTTGTTATGCTCTTTCCTTGTTTTACAATCTCTTTGCAGATACAGCACCACACCTAATGGCTGCGTATTATTAGTACATTCCCGCAGATCGTCATGTGAGACAGTTTTTCCTGGAGTGCCTGCGCCTGTCTGTCTGCTCATCATTGTCTGTCTGGAGCCTCAACCACAGACAGCTGGACACTGTCCCCACATCCATGTCCATAAGAGGGAGACATCAGCTGGCCTGCCCCCCCCCCGCCCCATGCCTGTCCACAGATCAGCTGACTGTGCACACACACATCACAGCGATCTGTGCTGCTGCTGTAAAGTGACTGTACATGACAGCGCAGAGTACAGTGGCAACAACAGCGGCTGCGGAGTGCTCGCACCGCGGACATGGAGGAGAGAGAGAGAGAACAAAGACAGACGGACTCCATGTCTGGGAATCAACGACCCCTTCTTCTCGCACTCACCTGGTCGAGCAGGAGATCGTCTGTGTTGGGTGTGGCCGCCTGCGGTTCGGAAGCTCTGCGGCTCTGCTGCAGCTCCTCACACTTTGTTTTGACCTCGAACTTGTTTGTGTCGGAGAGTCCTCCCTGCGCCCCGCGACGTCAGCGCCGAGCCCCGCCCAACGAGGCCGCGTCACATCAGGCGTCAGCCAATCACACGCGCCGAGCTGTGACGCATGTGGACAAATATGTGACAGCACAGATCACTTTATATAATGTGAGTTAATTTATCATCACTTTATATAATGTGAGTTAATTTATCATCACTTTATATAATGTGACTTTATTTATTAGCACTTTACACAGTGTCACTGTATTTAATCATAATGAGTGAATGTGGCTGAGTATTGTCAGGAAACTGTCCCCGAGCTTATAAACAGACCTGATGTTCCAAAATCTATTTCCTGTCGCGGAGGTTTTCCAAGCCTCTGCTCAGTGCTATATAAGTCTCTAACATTTATATGTTGCTCTATGTTACACGTCTCATTCAACCAGGAAGCGTCAAAACTATTCAGCTTTTTTATTATGTTGTGTTTTTCTGCTTTTCCTTCGTCGTACACATGCGCAGTACACTCACCTGGCGCTAGGGGGCGCAAAGCAAAGAAGTGGATATTTTAACTGTGGCTGAAGATAATTGTGTTTTTTATTATTAAATATCAACTTTTAATTTTCCGGTTCATACAGGCATCATGTGACCATGAATATCCAGAGTTGTAGGCTACAAAGTGTTAAAGTTATAAATTCAGCTTCACTGTAAAAATGTTCCAAAGCACAAACAAAACAGTTAAATGTGGTTATTTATTTATTTACTCGCAGTTCCTCTAATGTTTCAATGTCATCATGGCCACTGACTCAAGTCATGGAATTATGATCATGGATCTTGCAGGCACTGAATCTGCGATCATGACCGTGGCCACTGGATGTCGCTGTGGGAAGTGAGCGTGTCAGATCAGAGAGTCAGTGAGGAATGGACTTATGCTGCAGTGTTTTCAAAAACCATCCCATAATTTTATATTCATAAAACTAAAGCCTAAAAAACATAAACAGACTATGAACTATACATTTCCCTGTATCACAAAATCAAAACTATAGACTGCATATTTTATAAAATATGAACATTTGCTAAAGGTGGAATAAAAAAATGTAACCTTTAGAGAGCCTTTGTGGAATGTCCCCTGCAGCTTCACAAAATAATCTTCAGAGAGCATTCCTAGAATGTCCTGTAATGTTCTCAATGGATGTGACCTTAAGAGAACTTTTACCTGACAGTTGTCTGTCTGCTGGGTTGAATCAGCACACTTGTTATAGGTGGCAAACATGCAGCTGGTATCTGTGAGATTGCAACATACAGGAAACAATGTAACATGTAATTATGTTTTGTCCCGAAGACAGATTCTCAACAGCAGACTGGAAAAATATCATGTCAACAATGAACTAAAAGAGCTGCTCAATCTGCCAAACATTTAACTGACTTTTATGAGGATGATTTCATAAGGATAATTGTGAAGACATAGTTGCTTTACAAAATCTCCTGTGAGAGGGGGAATATATGTACATATATGGATTAGGAGCATTAGGGGCTGTAAGCCCCAAACTGGGAGAGTGGCTCCAGCAGATCCCAGGTATGTGAAGCCTCTGTCCAGAAAAGTGCAGTCCTAGGAAGAACTGAAATACTGCACAGAACCCTCAAACCCCCCGCCTCTGAGGACCAGACCTTAAGAAAGACGAACCATGTCCCTTGTTTGGTGTGCGAATACAACTGTTCAATTCGATGTTTCAATTCAATTCCATTTTATTTGTATAGCGCCAAATCATTTCAAACTGCTATCCATCATGGACAACCCCGACCACCCTCTCCACCACATCCTCCAGGCTCAGAGGAGCACATTCTCACATAGACTCAGACAACTCCGCTGTCACGAGGACAGATTCAGGAAGTCATTCCTGCCATCTGCCATCAGGTTCTATAATAACTCCCTGTAACAACTGTAACAGCTGACTGTTTAACTCAGCTCCATTAGTCCTATTCCCATCTGCGTTGTAAGTTTAATTTATTCACTGCTATTTATAATGACTGGTATTCAGTATCAGTACATGTTATTCTTGCAGACTGTATATACTAGCTAGTCTCTTTTGCACATCACTGTATCACTTACTACTTCCACTGTTTAATCACTTTATCGCTGTACCACTTGTACTATTTGCACTGTTTTATGTTTTTATGTTCTTATGCTTCTTGATTACTGAAACATTCAACCAGTCTCCTCTGTTTTAACTTTAACTTTGCTCTGTCTGACATGTAGGCTCTTCTATGTAAAAAAGAAAAAAGAAAAAAAAAGAATTGTACTTATTGCACATGTCTGTACTGCTGGAACACAAGAATTTCCCCTCGGGGATGAATAAAGTATGTTTATCTATCTATTTATCTATCTATTATAATATACATGATCTCAAGGCACTTTACATAGAAGGTCAAGACCTTAAAGACCCTAAAACTATATAGTCATGTTAACTACAGTCTATATTCCAAATACAAATATAGATATTAGACATAGGTAACACATATACACATTGGAAACAATAGTACTGCATATAATGAAGTAGTCAATATGTCATGCCTGATTATACTCTAAACTGTACTCTCCTCTGGTCAACAATGTGAAATGAAGTGTGCAGTGTTTGATAAAGGGTAATCTGAGAGGTAGTGTAGCTTCAGGATGCTGTGCACTGACCTCCTGCTGCAACACCTCCTGCTGCAACACCTCCTGCTGCAACACCTCCTGCTGCATCACCTCCTGCTGCAACCCCTCCTGCTGCAACACCTCCATAGTCACAGACAGTACGATCCATCCCTATCCACACTGCTGGTCAGAAGGTGGCGCCAATGCGCCGGTAAGTTGTTCAGCAAACTGTAAAAAAGGAGAAGAAGAAGTCAGAGCTCACCGGGGGACATCTATAGAGATTAAAAGTTTGATAGTTCAGCGGCCTGAAGGTAAGAAACACGTTCCACACCAACTTTATTAACCTGACACCGGAGGGGGACGTGCCAGAGTCCGAGTCCGGCCCGTTGTTGTGGTTCTGAGCGGAGTGGAGCCTGAGAGGTGTGGAAGTTTAGTCACATCATCGTTGTTTACCACTGTCTTCAGCTCACAGTGTCCATAACGAGACGACACTGCACATGTAGTGTGTATCTGTGACTGCGAGCCTCTGTGACGAGCCCCTCACGCCAAACTCCATTCAGGAAATCGTTGATTTAAAATAATAATGGGTATGAAGAGAATTGTGCAGTTAAGCAGTTTAACACGTTCATTGTATTTGTGGTATTATACGAATTGTCGTACAAGCATTATATAAATTTGATTTGAGTCCAGAATTGATCGTTGAGTGTTAGAAAGAAAAACAAAGTTGTGTATATTGTGTATTTAAATAATTGCACTTTTCTTTTATGCTGAAAGTAAAAGTGAAACCATTTTTTCTTGTCATGTAGCCTATAATGCTCTGCACCTGTTCTTCCTCCTAGTTTGACAACATTCCACTTTATTATATTATATCTGATCATATTATATTGTATTATATTATTAGAACCCTCCTGTTGGGAGGATTCATCACAGGATTGTAGTGCCAGACATTCATGTGTTGGTTCTTAAAAGACATTTAAACATTCCCTCCGTTAGTATGAAGACAGCTTCATTAGAAAATAAAGTGTGGGCAAACCTAAGTTAGAGAACTGTGTTCACGTCCATGTGTTTCAATCATTTCTCTCATTACAAATTCTTGTTGGGAATTTCACCACTAACTAACAATTACAGTTAAGGTGGGTTTAGCTGTACCACCCAACCCTGTGGCCAAAATGTCATCAGGTAGTCAGTGTAACTTTATTCTCATTCATATTCATCACTGTTAACATTTCACCTTTTCATACTCGTCTGAGATTATAAGGGAAGCTGTAGAGAAGTCATACCAGACAGTTAAGGAACTGTGTAAAGTTACATGCTGAATTATATTAGCTATATTATATTCAGTTTACTTTATTTTATTGAATGTTAAATCAGGAAGAGGCTGTATCCTATCACTGTCTTAACAATTGTCTCGTCTGAGTCACGACTTACAGAGTTGACCGTCTGCTTTCCGGTGTTGTTAGTGCCTCAACACAGGGATGCCTCCCCACATGAACGACGTCATGCGCCTGTGCTGCGAAATATCAGCGCACGATCAGATCAAGGTCGCAGTGAAAAACTCCACCAAAGGAGCGATGGTGGCAGGAGGCACTGCCTTCGTAGGTGGGCTGCTCTGTGGACCTCCAGGGATCGCTGTGGGTAAGAACCCTCACAAAAACAACACACCTCTGATTACTGTAGTTGTGCTGTCATGATATTACAGCTCGCCCACACCGAAGACGCTTTCAGACAGGACCACCAAAAGGAAGTCTGCAGAACTGGGTCCGCACATTCTGCAGAGTTTGCCTTTCACACAGGAGCATTCAGGTGATGGGTGGAGCAGAAGCAGGATGTGACTTCTGCTGCGGAGATCACGTTTTTTGTTTACAGCACGTCAACACCGGTGTCGGCCTAATCACGAAAAAGCTCGCTTGACATCTGGATCAGTCTTCTGTGTGCATGGCATCGCTGTTTCATGTGGAGATATTTATATTCTTTATGAGTTTTGTTTTTAGTTTTGCATCTGTCGCATGTAAAAAGCATAAACAACCCCCCACTGGCTCGCAGTGAATCCTGTGGAGATTCTCCTGCGCTGTTCTCACGAAAGAGTTTCAGCGGACTTTATACTCACAATTGTCTGGGTCATACAAAGCAATCAATTTAAAGATTTTTCAAAAAACCAATTTGGTTTATTTTCAACAATCCACAGTAGCACCAACTTTCATTAAATAGAATACAGAAAAACAAAAGAAAAAAAATATTTATACTCTATAGTTTAACCTTAAACATTATTATAAATAACTATAAATTAAAAGAAAACACAAATACAACCAAATCTATAGAAGTAAGGAATTAACCAGTTGTTTTTACACAGGCTCTGAACATAAAATCATATATTTTCTGCATCGTTAATTCCTGTCTGTTTTTATATTGGCAAACATAAACTCAGATACCAAGTCTGTGAAAGATATATCTGTTTGCATCTAAACCTGTAACTGACCCTGTATCCACTCTCTCCTCCAGGTGGAGCAGTTGGTGGTCTCTTGGGCAGCTGGCTGACCAGCGGTCAGTTCAGGCCTCTACCTGAGATCCTGATGGAGCTGCCACCAAACCAGAAACAGAAGCTCTATACTGACATTGTGGCCGTCCTGGGCAGCCTGGACTGGACAGACGTCGCCCAGCTCATCGCTCTTGTGATGGGCAACGCCACTCTCCAGCAGCAGGTCACTGCTGCGCTGCTCAACTATGTTGCAAAGGAACTCAGAGCAGATGTGCGGTATCAGGACTGAGTCGTGGTCACAAACAGACTTTCCAGGTTTTCTACTGAGACCTGACAAACAACCAGAACTTCGGGTACATATACGTTTTTTTTGTTTCTGGCTGTTTAACCTTCATGATTATTACAAATTAGGTTGTTAGCCTTCGCTACCCTCAGAGTGTTGACCCCAACAACAAAGAAACCATTCTCCCCCCTGTTGGAACTCTTTTCGAGAGCTGCTGATTCAAGTCCATTGTCTTTGTAGAGTGGACATAATAATAGAAACACCTCTACATACAATGAGGAAACAGAGACACCTCTGGAATGCAGCACAAACTTCCTCCTCCAAACTGATCACACAGTTGAATCAACATGTCTCTAAAACAGTTCCAATGAAAACCTTCACACAGGGAGCCCTGCAAACATTGGTTGGTTGAAATGAATAAACAAGTTTGAATAAGCTTTTCCAAAGTTCAATGATTGTTGACATTGGTTCAATTTTCATCTTGACTATGTATTTTAAGGTGAAGATGCCGTTTCATCGCTTTCCAACATTGAAGTGTTTGCAGGGAGGATTTCCTGTGGGTCTATAGTATTAGACTGCATTAGTTGTAGCTATTAAACTGAGTGCATCCCTCTATTACAATGTCACTTTGGCATTTTCTGTGGAGACTATGAGCAATATCAAGTGCTCTGCTGCTGTTGTACATTTTCATGTAAATGTGCCTTAGCTGTGTCAGTGGTCAATGGTCTTATGAGCACAGTATAGTCCCCATTAAAACATCTCACACACCTCTGTTACCTCTAAGATATTGAGCCCAGATTGTCATTTATTCTGGATTACAAGGTCATGTTATAAATCCCTCACTCTGTATCAGGGTGTTGTTAATATTTTTCTAGATGTTTACATTTGAAACCATTATACAACCCGATCAGGCGTCTGATTGGTCAATGAGCCCAAACATTCAGCCGGACACTTAAAGAGCGAAGTGTCTTCAGAAACCAAGGAGTCCTGCAGCAGATGTACCAGAGTCAGTGTGAGATCACATGAAGGGACTCCAGGACGATTTAAACAAATTACCCACTACCAAGAAGAGCTGGTGTTGTTTTAAAGACAGGAGGTGAAAACACACCAAGTATTGATTTGATTATTTTATATATATTTGTATGAAATGATTCATCATTTAAAAAAATCATCGCCTTATTTTTAAAAACCATTGCTTGTGTTTCAAATAAAATAAAAACTGGACTATATCGTGCCATGTGGATGAAGACTAATGTCACTGCTTTTTTACCTTCCCCCTCAGTAACACACACAGGATCATATTTATCTCTACCAAGGAGGTTCTGTTTCACCCGTCCGAGCGTTTGTAAGCAAGACAACACAAGAACAACTGAAGGGTTCCAATGGAACTTGGTGGAAGGATGTGGTATGAGTCAGGGGAGAAACCATTTAATTTCACTGATCTTTGTGACGTTGGACATTTTTCTACATTTTCACCAATTTCCAAGAGAACAACTCATGAATCATGATGAAAACAATTTGACAGTTTGAGAGGACAGATCTTTATGTGTGTGAATTTTGGCGCAGCATGATTTATTTAATTTAAAGCGACTGTTGGGGCTTGGTGGACGTATGCAGTCTAGTTTTTTTACACAGAATCACTTTTCACTGTCTCTGCTTATACAGGCTCCAAATGAAAACTCCGAGTCAAAAGCACAGGGAGGCGGGGAAGAGATATCAACACAATTACAAACACTTGTTATTTCAACAATATGTATTTTTGTTTATTCAACTTCTGTTGCTACATTTCATCTATGACATCAACAACACAAACTGTTCAGTACGGCTGAGGTCAAATAAAGTGGTGCAGAGCAAGATCTTCAGTTTTGCCTGAAGTTGCCTGGATCCTCTGATAGAGTGAGCTGAACTGAATAAAGCTGTAGTGACAATGTTTAAGCACTCGGTGATGATGAAGTGTCAGCTGGTGGTGAGTAAAAAGATTCAGGACCTTCAATACCTGAATGGAGAGAGATGAAGTGTAGCATCTGTGACAAACACGTTTCAGGTGGTGTGGATAAACCGACAGTTGATGTTCATTAAACCTCGATGATTCTTTTTTCCTGCTCTCTGGGTTTGACTGCAGTGAGACACATTAAGAAGTCGTGCATGTGAAATATGCTGTTCTTTGAAATGACATGTCATATTGTGTCTGTTTACATTTAGTTGTATGAGCTCAATTTATGCTAAAGCTCACACACACAGCTCATTGGGGAAACAATTGAAATAGAAATCAATAATAAAAAACGAACATTGCAATGGGTTGAACATTAAATGGAAAGAAAATTATGTGATTAAAACGTCACCTCACTTCCTGTGTTGTGTCAATGAATTCAGGCGATAGGGAGCAGAAAAGTTAACCGAGTGGAGCTGCCACGTCTTTATATGCAGTCATGACAGAATCTTTCACTAGAAGGCAGCACTCACTCACGGCTTGAACTTGAGTACTCATGAGTTCCAAGTAGTGTTTTAAATGAGTCATATTGACCACATTATATAATTATATTGTGTAGTTAATGTTTATTTCCATCAAAAGGTAAGTAGTATGATAACATATGTTTATTTGTAAAAATGCCTTTTGTATGAGGATATTAAAGAGCAACACATCCAGCCTGTTCTTTTCTTCAGCACATTGCTGTCAGGCACAGGAGCCCTTGTTAGAAGGCACAGAGAGAGACACTGGGGTCCACAGCTGAAATGGCAACAGATCCAAAACACTGAGGTCAGTGGATAAAGCATCAAAACCACTACCAATACATGCTGATGTTATTGATTAGGCCCAAACATCTACAGCTTAGTTTAACACAACCTCATGCTACACATCAACACCCATTTACATTAGAACCAATTTTTTAGTGTGACCACTGTGGACCCTGGTATAAAGCAGAGGTCTGGTTGAGCACATGTGTCTGTGCAGTTTACTCAGTACAATACACTGACCCACGAGTCTACTGCACAAAAATATGACAAGACACGGGTTCTACTGCTTTCAACATGCAATCGCTGAATTGTTGTGCCATGTGGGGAAAACAAGCTGTAAACAGAACATTGAATTATCACCTCAGAGATTATAACAAGCAGCATAATTACACATGTAGCAAACTGTGAATACGATGAGCATTTATTTAGGTGCTGTGTTTCTGGCAGCCTGCTCGGATCTACGTTGTGTTACTGAAACGCCGCGTGTCATTTGGTGCTGGTGGGCAGGTCGTGTGCAGTGGTCTGGTCTGAGCTTTGGTGCCAACAGTGACTCTCAGGAGAGCGCTCAGTCTGAGCCACAACAGTTTAGTCGCAGGTGGAAAACCACAATAAAGAATCGAAGGATGGAAATAAAACAAACTTAATACTTGAGAGGAGCATCAGTCAGGTGCTAAATCTCTGTGTGTTGGTCTCACAACACCTTATACACCAAACACAAGCGCTACAATGCCTGAAACAGACTAGAAAGAACATTGTCAAGAGGTCACCAACAGTTACACTTTTTTCCAATCCTTGCAAACTAATCACTTCACCCCTTGCTACACATCTGAGCTCCCCCACCTTCCACATTTGTGCTGAACAGGAAACACAAAGTGACACTGGACCATCCGACAAGACACGAGTGAATACACGTTACAGGCCCATAGTCGCAGTAAAGCTTTTCAGGTCCAGATAAAGTAACTTCTATTTGTGTTGTTTAACCATGGAAGGAATAGTTTGACATTTTGGTTCATGATCTTTTCCAACTACATGATCAGAGTTAGATCTCACTCTCCTTTCACTGTCTAAGAAAAAAAATAAATGAAGCTACAGTGAGAAAATGATTACTTCAGCATTACAGACTAGAAACAGGCGAAAGCAGCTATACTAGCTGAGTCCAATGGTAAAAAACAATATTCCGCTACCTGCACCTCTAATTAAACATGTCATGTCTGGTTTGTTCGTACAAAAAAAGCCAGGTGAAAAATAGAAATGTCTTTTTCATGAGGGGTTAGGACTTCAACGTATAAAACTGCAGCTTGATGTTTTAAATCCTGATTTAGACGTGACGGTAGGATTTCCTTTTTACCTTTGGACAGAGTCAAAGCATAAAGTATGATGATATAAGTACATTTTATAAGAGAGAAAATACACCTGGTTATTGAGACTGTAATATCACCAGTTTGGCAGTGTTCTGTGAAGAAGTGTAGTGTGGTGCTTTAGACTCTCGTCTGTTTGAAGGCTCTTTCTCTTCTTGACAGAGAGGATTTAGAGGCACTTAAGTGAAGCAGAGAACCTGGAAACAAAATGACTTCTTCACCGTGAGAAGCTGATAATCCATCTGCTACCTGCGGCTCTTTTTCCATTTTGACCTTTTATCTGAGTGTCAGGATTCTATGTGTACAATTTGTGCTGAATGCAGCTCATCTTTTATGCTTGATTCAAAGCTTTGATCTTCCTCTTGAGATAACTTTGGTGTAAAACTAAATCTACCAATGTGATCAAATATTGTCTTATTTTTTTTTTTTACAAAAGTGCAAGTGGGCGAGGAGACGAGGAAAGCTTTTCAGTCCTGTGCAACAATTGTTTACACTACAAGAATAAATGTCTCACAGAAACACTGAATTCGTTGTTGAGATCATTGGTAAATTCTTCTTCTACTGAGATTTTCAACGGACTCAGTCTCATTCACGTCTCCTCAGCGACTTCAAAATGTCTGAATAAGAAAGGCAGTAACCCAGCAGCAAAAACACACTAAGGGCATGGGCACACATACGCAGATGTAACAGTGGTGAACCATCGCCTCCTGTTCACTTCCAACCAGTGCGAGCAAGGGGGCGAATGAAACATTCACTTCCTGTGGTGAAGCAGATCTCCAGCGTGGCTTCACATGGAGCTCAACCCTCCACTTACCAGCATTTGCGTACGTGTGACCGTGTCCGAAAACTAAACTGTTCAACGCTGCAGAGCATACGATCATTCAGAGGTGTTCACAGTGTGTGTGCAACACATAGATCAGGTTGAAACCAGTGACACATTAGTAAAGATATGTGTGAAAAATAACTAGAATAAAAAAGAGAATGTACACAGTACAATACATCAGTTCCAATCAAAGGAGAGTAAAGGTGTAAAAAAATGCTGGAGCCGTGTTGAGTCTAAAACTGTTCAGAGAGGAGGTCACACAGTCTCTGAGACACTGAGTCCCTGCTGGTCCGGAGGGTCAGACGGTACATCTGCACAGAAAATACACACAGTTTCTCAGGCAGTGTGATGGTGGTTCAATGCAGACATGCGTATGAAATAAGATGAGTGTGTGTGCGCATGTCTGTCTACAGTTATGAGGGACACACGTTTGGTTCTTTGTGAGGACATTTTGACGTGAGGACATTTTGACTGCTCCTCACAAATTCAAAGTGGTGTTTGAGGCTTAAGACTTGGTTTTAGGGTTAAGTTTAGAGTTAGGGTAGGGTTAGGCATTTACTTGTGATGGTTAAGGTTATGGTAAGGGGCTAGTGAATGCATTACGTCAATGAGTGTCCTCACAACTATAGAGAGACGTGTATGTGTGTCTGTTTTTTTTACCTCTGCTTGTGCGTTGGGCTCCAGTCTGAGCAGGCAGCCCACCTGAGTGTTCTTAGTGTGAATGACTCCAGCTCCGACAAAGTTTTCAGGATTGGGATCCACCTGCTCCAGCAGAGCGACACCGAAACCTAAGATCTGCATGAGAATATACAAAAGAGAAATTTAAAACAAAATGTTTTCCACACAGGGCTGAAGTCTGAACGACGTGGACCTTGAGTCTAGAGAGTTTTTTTAAATTCTGTTCACCGTCGTCCAGAACAGGGAGGATCACAGACTGATCTTATTGGTACAGGTGGTTATCTTAATAAAATGATCTGCATTCATTCTCAATACTCTTTTTCCTCATATGGGAACTTATCAGACACATGAGACTATAGCTGTTTTCAGACATGAACTCCAGATAATGTTCAATGTTGGGTGTCATTTTGCCTTTCACATATGAAAAACGCAGTGGCAGATTGTCTGGGTAAGACACGTTCAGAACAACTGGAAAATATCCAGTGTTCGTGTGAGGAGTGACGACTGGGTAGAGGGGCAGGAGGCAGGAAATAACATATAAATTCCGTTGTGGAAACCACATGTTTTAGTTTACAGCACAACGACACAGGCGTCTGCTCGTATCGTCTAATCTCTTTATCTTTCCAAGTTATCCAAGATATCTTCTTCTGCGTCTTGTGCTGGTTTTGCGTCTCTTTTTCAACCCAAGATATTTGTGTTCATTTCATTTTCTGTGTGTCATCATTGACATAACCGATAGCTGGCTGTGGATTCTTTTTCCTGCAGTATTCTGACTCAGACATTTTATGAACATTTTTACTTGGGGATTGGCAGAAACTCTTGACATTTACGTTCTCACATTCATTCCCTCTGATTAATTCAAGTAAATGTCCAGACTTCAGTTCATGTCTGAAAACAGCTTATTTGTGAGTTTCATTAAAGGTCCAGTGTGTAAGATTTAGGTGAAAGGGATCTATGGGCAGAAATTTAATGTAGAATAATCCTCATGATGTTTTCACTAGTTCGTTTCATCTAAATTATATGAATTGTAGTTTTCTTTACCCCAGAAAAGGCCCTTTATATTTAAATACTTTATATTTACATGGAGGAGACATCAGTCCAGACTGAACAAACTAAACATCTTTTGAGTTTTTATGACAACTGAAGTTTACCACAGGTTCTTTTTCATGTTTGGAAGGAGAGGGTGAGGTGAGGGGTGTTCAACTGCAACATGTAACTTCAACACTAGATATCACTAAATACTACACACTGAACCTTTAAGAATTTTTTTTTTTCAGAAAAGTAGTTTTGGACTCAAACATTGTGGAATGTCACTTCATGCTGGAAATGTTTGGTGAATGGTCTTTAAGTTTTGAATCAGACAAAAATAAATGAAATAAATGAACAGTCAATACACAAAATGGATCACTTTTAAAATCAGTAGAAGTGAGAATGAGAGACCATTCAGGTAGATTTTCTGTATGCTGTGATGATGTGTGTATAATCACAGCTCACACAGGAGCGTGTCACAATGAGCTGGTTCATGTCAGCAGCTGAGCAGTTTCTCTTTAAAAGGTTGGAGTTTTTTTGGTACCTTGGCCTTGGTAACGTCTGTGTCCATCGGGTGTTTGGCTTTGAAGATTTTCTGAACCTCTTGCTGAGGCCTGAGGACACAGAGAGAAGGGAGGGAGGATAAATACTGATTTTCACAAGGAGGAAAATAACAGAACATCATGTCACTATAGAAAACCATCAACAACAAAACCTGATATATACATGACCTCATTCTGTTTCACACTTTCTAAAGGTATGCAAGACCTAGTTAATACATGCAATATAAGTAAAAAACTCCACCAGTCACACTAATTATTCAAACTTACATATAAACTACAAATGTGAAAGGTAATAAAGCAAATTCAGTTTCATTTTATGAAGAACACTGACTATAACATCAGAATCAACAAGAAAGATGCAACCAGCATTAACACATGCCAACCAAACAGTCCATTCCAAACAGCCATGTGGAGAACAGGCACTGCTCTAGAATAATTTCATATTTATAATTATGTCATATATTCATACAAATTTTAGACTTTTTAAGAAGAAGAAAAATGATCTTTGATCGAGTACCGACTTATTTGGAATTTGTTACAGCAGATGTCTCAGAGGAAAGTGGCAAATGTGATGCCAGCTCAAAATAAAAGGCCTGCTACAATAAGAGATTTGGAGAGCTTGAATAACCTCCTATTTCAACAAGTGATGCAAATAAAACAATTTTACTTCCTGATTAATCTGCTGATTTTCTTTTTTGATGAGACCATAAAAAAAGTTGAACTGATGTTGTTCAACTGTTCGTGTTTCTTCTGACAGAGACATGAAATACAGGGAGGAACACCCCCTACTGCTGACCGGAAAAAGCAGCATAGCACTGATAACATGGAGTGAGTCTTACGCTCCAAGCTGTTTCCAGCGTTGGAAGAAGTCTTGGGACATCATCTCTGTGGGCTGGAAAAACTTGTTCAGCATCACAGGGAGTTTCACTGCAATGTTCTGGAGAGTTCCACCGTACCTGTTCACACGCAGAGTCAGGAATCAGCAAATATTACACTGGATACCAGAAACATAAGAATGGATTTAGAAAACCAACCTGAACTGGATGTTGAGTATTGGTGCATCCGTGAAATCTGACACACACTCAATGTTGAGGATCTGCTGGACCTGAGCCCCACCTTCTACTACGGGGTCTACTGTCTTCGCCTGGACATTCAGCTGTGGAGACGAGGAGTCAAGGATTCTACGAATAACTAAACAACACAAGCCTGACAGCATCACTACTGAATAGTTGATACCTATTTACAAGGCCCTTTTTGCTGTGTTGGAAGCCGAGCTGAGTAGTTATTTTATTTGACAATTTGAGTCACCTTCAGTACTAAAGTGAAAAATACCAAATTGACTGAGAAGGAGTAGAGATTGTTGATTTAGCTGCATTAAGTAAACTCCAGTGATCAGTTAGTGTCACAAACCGAGCAGTAGAAAGGATATGAGTCATGAGTGTGTCGGGACTTGACACTGATGAGGAGAAGCTGAGGAACTGGGTGGACGTCTTGTTGCCATAAAACATGTGCAAGCGACCTGGAGGACAAGAGGAACAATCATTGAGTTCATCCTGTTGAACAATTCACATCTGACCAGTATCCACTACATGTAAAATGATATAGTCTGACAAAAGTGTCTGCAATTTCATGCAGATTCCCGCCTTTGCTTGTTTACACTGAACCAAAGCAGCTGACATATCATTGCCCTGTTAGACAGGATGTGTATAACAGAGTCAGCATTTTTTGCAGCCATGTCAGCCCCCTAAGTTCCCTGTTTTTTTACAGACAATGGTTTTACAGAATGAATGCACAACATTGCTACCTTGAGAAGGATGTGTAAAAGAGGCTTTCGAGGTTAAAATACCATTCAAACTAATGTCTGATGTGATTTCCCGGCAGTAAAAGATTCTGACCTATCATAAACACATTGTGATACCAAGCTTCTTACCCAGGTTCTGTCTGTACTCAGACTTGAGTCCAATCTGCAAAAGCTGGTTCTCGTAGATAACACCATTGTTCTTACAAACAAACCTGGAATTTACAAGAACACAATTACACATTTACAACACAGAGTTGGGAAAAAGGCAGGAGGCTGTTCAGACCAGATGCATGAGTATACTGATACAGAATATATTAAGACTGTGTTACAAGCTACAGTGGAGTTTTTAAAGTAGTGTTGTTAGATAGTATTAAGAGGGTAGGGTCTAAGAAAAGACACCATCTTTTTACATTATGGGAAAAACTAGATTCCATGTCTCTGGAGTTTGAACCATATAAGAAATTAAAAGTAAGGATACCTCTGCAGCTTGAATCTGATCTTTTTTTAAAAGCAAAACTGTTCTTTAACTTTAAATAGCTGCTTTACTCACACTCTTTACCCAGAACGTCTGTTCTTGCTCTAGGTAACTTTGATGGTGAACAGGTACAATCTCCTGCGAAGTGCGGAAGTTATTGATAACTGCAGCTTCAATTGCCAGAATCAGGCACAACAAGTTAAAGACTAATGCTGAACTGTAGACCAGGTAAAAACAACTTAGAAGTTATTATAAACCATTGTTTCGCTCCATTGTTTAGCGAGGAAACTTAAAATATGAAGAATTCTACACAGAATTTGGTGTATTTGTTACAGAAGCAGCTCTTCTGGTTCAAAAAGCTGGGGATCATGGGAAATATCAACCGTTCAGTTGAGTTTCAATTCATTGAGTGGGACTACAGTCAAGAGTTTTGCTCAACACATTGATAGACTTTGTTTTTCCTCTACATGAAAAGCATTTAATCACTCAGACATGGAGCCCAACAGTTGAATCTGTAGAGTGCCTCTTTATTACTTTATTGAATGAGAATAACTGTATGTGTGACTATTTACAAACAGCTGGAACTTCCATTTGTCAGCAAATTTCATCAACTATATCACAGTATGGTCTCACCTGGTAAAGTTTTCCTCGCACGCGTCTGTGGACTCGAGGGTAGAGCTGTCAGAGAAGACATCAATCAGCAGATTGGCTCCTGCTGAAGGGGTCGAGTTCAGATTCAGCAGGTCTGTGAAGGAGTGAGTGGAATCCTGGGAGAGAAACATCAGCAATGATAATCTTTTACACACAGCATCTGCATACTGAGCACAACTAAGTAATATGCTTGAATATAAAATAACTACAGCTATTACGTGATTGAACATTGTAACACACTGTTAGGGTCTTGGACGGGCTAGTGACTAAAGAACGCCACACTGTATGACCTATAAACGCTTCAGGTCTGGTTTATTTCTATACAGTGACATCAGAATCACTTGGTATAATAAAGCACTAATGGTGCATCAAACAGATACATTTCCAAAGAATCAAACCAGATAATTTAAAAATACACGAGACAAGAGCAGCGGGTCACTCACAGTGCTAATAAATATACATGTCATTCACTATGCTATGTGTTGTTTCTAACTGTCAATATACCATGATCCCAGCAGAGAGAATGACGGGGCTAGAAGAGGCAGGACGGGGTCTGTTGGTAGGTAGAAGGTCTGCCAACAGTGAAATAGAAGACTGATGGAGGAAAAGAAAGAGCAGAGGAAAGGAGACAGGACAAGGGGAGGTGAAGATCAAGTAAATGTTAAAAAGAAAAGAAAAGAAAGGTAAAGGCTATAAAATAGTAAGAAGCAATATACAACAATATGCAGAATATGACAGTTATAATGTTTATGAGATGCAAGGATAAATAGCGCAGTAGAACATAGAAAAACCTGTGGTGATATTTCTTCACTTGTTGAGGTGATATTTTCAGTGTGTGGCTCACATTAAATATATTGTCCTGACCACATTTCATAGCTTCTGTGGAGTCACCTTGTTAGTGGCTTCAGTTTTCTCGCTGTGCTCAGTGTTGCCATTGACATTCCGCCGGGCGTCGTCGATATCGGGCAGATTGCCCGGGCCCTTCTTCCTCTTTAGCTTGGCAAGGATTGACGACTCCCTCTCTGGGAAAGGAGGCATTTCTTCTAAGACTGTGGCCTATGAAGAGACAGAGAGGAAAAAGAGAAAGAGAGGAAGAAAGTCAGGTAAGTGAGGCCAGTAGAAGTTAACAGTAACGGAGGAAGTGTTATAAATATTCTGTCCACTCCCTGCATAATTATTCACAAACCAATATGTCAGTGCTGGCAATGCAGCTGAGCCTCAAGTACTCGACGGCTCTCTGCTGAAGTTCCACGTCAGCGTTTCGGAGCTGGCTGTCTGACCGCAGGACGTCTTGGATCGTGGCCTTTATTTCAGGAAACAGGTTAATGAACTTGATGTAAGCCGACAGCAGCAGTGCACGAGTTGGCACAGAGCAGAGATGAAACTTGGAGTGAAGAAGGTTGAACTGGATCAGAGGGCTGAAAAACAGACGACACAGAAGAAGACAACATATTAACAGTAAAACCCCATGATGTCAGCTCTGGACTAGATTCAAATCACATTGCAAAAGTCAATACACCATGTTAGGTTTTTAACATGGTGTATTAAGGTTTGGTTCACCAACGCTACAAAAAGTTGTATTCAAAACCAACCAAACCTTCAAAGAAAGAGACGAGCTAAGCATATTAACATCAGCTGGAAAATGGTAGGACTTTCTGAACATAGAATTCCACTATGTTGATGATGTTATTTTACCTGGAGCGTGAGTCACCAGCAATGAGGTTACCAAACTCCCCCAGGATGTAACCCCCCACCTTAACCAGGTTCTCGTGGCAGGCGGGGGCCTGTAGTGCCTACAAGAGTTCACGAGGCATGACAGCATTGGGTTAGGATCAACGTGGAAGAAAAAATAAACTGCTGTCTACTATAAAGCTGAAAATTTGCCTTTCACATATATAAACGCAGCATAGTATTGTGCGGGTCAGACATGTTCACAACAACAGGAACATTTTCAGAACGTTCAGGCAAGGGGTGGAACCTGGGGAAAAGCATTCAGGAGGCAGGGCAAGTTGTATAAATACTGCCACAGAAAGTAGTGTTTTTGTTTACAACACCAGCCGGTTCTTCGTAAGCTCACTCGCTGGACATTTTTGGGAGGTTTTCCTGCTATATTTTAGCTTGCGGGCTCACTCTGACATTTCCCATACTTTTTTACCAACTAGCTGGAGGGAAATGTTCAGGAAAATGTCCGGAGCAACCAAGACAGACATCTGTGTTCTCACATACAGCCCCTCCAGAAAATTTCAGGAAAATCAGCCCATGTCTGAAAGCAGTTTAAGGTCAGGTGGATATATCTCAACCACTCATCAGCCAACATGTAGATGTCATCAGTGACACTCACCTCAAAAACAGTCTTTGCAGCATAGCCTTGGACATCATCTCGGTTTATGACAATCTGAATGACCCGATACCACACTTCTTCACTGACATAGTCGCCGGCGATGCGGATGAGGTTGAGGATGGTATCCACATACCAGGTGTAGTCCACAGCATACTTCTCTGCAAGGATTGCCACTTTAAGCACCTGAGGGAGAGAGAAGCGAGAGGCTGAGAGCGAGAGAGGCACCGGTAGGAATATAACGACGGTCAGAATTATGCTGATGACCCACTATCTCCTCTCTGATTGAGTAGTCGGCCGTCTCCAGGTAGCTCAACATCTCAGCCACAATCTGCTTGGCATTGCTGCGGTCACACATGGCGTAGAGCAGATCCACAGCCCGCTGACGGACGCTCACATCTCGCTCTGTCTGTATTGACGACACACATTAACAGAAGATGTGAAATGACAGATGGGAGACTTGCCGCCACATCACGACTATTTCTTTAAAATCAATAAAGATGTAACTGTAAACTATAAAGAGGTAATGTCCAATTTGTATGTCAATATTAGCTCTTTCAGCACCATCATGGGAATATTTGGAAGACAGACAGACATGATTTGCAATAATGTGAATCATCTAAAGTGGTGAAAGATATGACAAACTAAATATAATCTGGAGGTCAGGTTTAAATAAATTACTTTGCACTCAAGCCTTGACTTAGAATAAACATGATAATTCAATAAATTACAGCTTGTATTTTGCACAGTTTTATCAAATCTTTTTCAAAGATTTTTTTGGTAACACATTGAGAGAAAACCTGAGGTCACAATGTGCAACTTTACGTAAATCAACTTATTCTCCTCCTAAATGACACAAAGATCATAATAGGACACTGAAGAGCTTCTGAAGAGTTATTGCACATTTTTTCCACATTAACATGCAAAAGCTTAACATTACACAACTGATTGACTCACCTTTAGAGCATTGATCACAGTTTCTATATGCGTCTTTACCGCCTCGTGAGAAAACTCTGAGCTGGCCAGCGTGCACATACTCTCCAAGGCCAAGTAACGGAGGTTGGTTTCCCTGTGTTGCAGGAACTGACCCAACTGGTTACAGGCTCGTACCAACAGCGTGGGCTCACTGAGGGACGAGACACATAATCAGAACTGTAGCATCCAATATTTTAAAATTCAAAAACACACAAGAGTCACACAAAACAGGAGTGTGAACTAGTGACAGCTACAGTAGCTTTGACCTGAGGTACAACATAATTTGTTCTGTTCTTGTTGTTTTTTTTACGTCAGCTTCTGGCATGCTACACCTGGAGGTAAACTTATCTAGCACATTTTCCTTTCCACAACACATCTCTGTGAATCCGATATTCAGAATTCAGTGAGGAAAGTTAGTCATTGGGAATGTGAGCAACCTGTCATGGTGGATGATGAGGGAGATGGCTTCAAACAGAACAGCGTTCTTTGCGTTGGAGTGCTGGACCTTCTTGGACTTGGGGGGCTCCTGGGCTTTATTGAGGATGGTCTCCAGACACTCGGTGAGACGACTTCGCAGTGCTGCATCCTCTGCAACAACAGAGCCTTCAGCCTTAACACTCACCAAGTATTCCACAAACTCTCAGTATAATGCTTTCATCATACATTTTTTGAATAAATATTGAAAAACAACATATGTCACAAGACATTCCAGCCTTGAGCAGGCAGCCCATATTGCTGGTTTGTGAACACTGTCATTGTTTTTCCAACTCTTTATCCAAAACAATCAGATGATATCATGTCAAAAATAATTTCTATATATTTTACTTTTTCTACTCAGATGCCAGCTGGTGTTGAAACATCATCTTGAAACTTCACACTTTATTAAAAATGGGTGCAATGATTCTAGTTCTGGCAGTAGAAGAAAGAAATGATCATGTGCGGACCATGTCATCATTATTATTATTCAATGCAACTAGAAGTTGGTGAAATATTTTGTGTTGGAAAAAATAAAATGTCTGCAAAATTAAAGAAACAATTTAAATTTTGATAGTTGATGTGCAAACGTTTTCTCCATTTAGCAGTGGTACATTTCACTATTTCCCCTTTTATGGTAGAAGAGTAAGTTTCCACGCAGTTTCATGGTTTCTCTGGCCTATAGGAAGGTCTGCAGTTTGATCCCAGTCTTCCCCATCTGCATGCTGAAGTGTCCTTGGACAAGATGCTGAACCTCGAATTGCCCCTCATAGAAAAAAAAACTGCTGCTAATAGATGCACTGTATGAATGTGTGTGAATGGGTGAATGGCAAACTGTACTGTAAAGAGCTTTGAGTGGTCATCAAGGCTAGAAAAGCTCATATAAATACAAACCATTTACCATTTACAGACAGACATTAATGTACTTTATCATACCAGGGGGAGGGTAGCACTGAAGAAGACGCAGCAATTTGACAGAAAGCCATGGTGCTGCAACAAAGTAGTATGTATAGTCCTGCAGGTCGATGGATGCAGATGTCACTATCTAGACATGAAAGAAGAATGGAACATGTCAGTAGATGTCAAGTCAGATTTAATCTCTGACCTCAGAGAGATAAGGAGACATTGTGTGAAGCTAGAGAAAGACACACACCCTGCTGAGTCTGGCCACAGAAAGTGAGATGGATGTTTTGAAGTCATCAGGACTCTTCTGAGCCAGAGTGGTAATAAGGCTGGTGGCTGCTGTAACCACTCCCTGAAAAAAAACACACACACACACACACACACACACACAGTGTTTTATCCTCTGGGCAACTGTGTTTTAGGTGCAGAGAAAGTGACCTGGCCTGAAGATATCAGAGGGTTTTAACAGTGTACCTAATCTATATACTGATACTATACACAATATACTAATTATTATAATCAAGTAAATGTTGAACTAGAATTAAACTGAATCAAATTGCACTTAACAAAGAAACAGTTTTTCCCAAGAAGTTTCTCAATACTTTTTGAAACCATTTCCCCACCACCCAGTTTTTTTTTTTCAATAGTGAGTAAGTTAATTTCCTTTGTGCAATGCATTGTGCAAGAACAGAGTTCATCAACAGTATTTGGTTGGCCTGCCCCCTTCTTTGAGTGTACTTCAGTTTTACACTACATACTCGAAATGTTCTTAGAACCAGTGTGTGGAGTGAAACTGGGACATGGGTAGGATCTCACCAGGTGCTGATCATTAAGCAGATGCACCACTCGGGCCGTCCATTCACCCATTGGCACCAGGTCAGGAGACGTCCTATTGAGTCGTAGCAGACACAGTGCTGCACTCTGCTTCACACTGTCCATGGTGTCCCTGATAGGGGCAAGCACAATACAACTTGATTATTCACTGATCAATCTAAACATTATATACAACTGAAATTGACACTGCCAGTTTCACACTATAATCCTTAGGATTTCAGTCATGCTTGATTTGTGTTTGTTTATGAAGTACATTATAACAGTACAGGCCCCAGAGTTTACAAGACTTTACACATGCATCAACCACTTGGGATGGCTGCTCCATCAGATATGCAACAGAAGATTAGCAGCATTAATGTCTGTTTACAGCACAGCCTGAGAAAATGTGGAGCACAGACCACACGGCCCAACCTCATCCTGTAATAGACAGGGAGGCACGCTGAAGTGCTGAATGTGCGAGCTTCGTTTCCTGTACATCCCTCTGTGAATGTTAAAAATGGCAGGAATGGCTGACTGCACCACCTGCATGGAAATCTACTGCATAAGACACACATTACAGGCTTTAAATGCAATGACCAGCTATTGCAGAAAAAACTCTAAATAGTAAACAGAAATAGGGTCAGACGAAATTATAGCCTGAAGAAAATAACTGATTTCATTTACTGATACAAAACCCCAAAATGTATACAGAACATTTCAAATTTTGCCAGATGCTCAGCAAATGTTTCCAAGGTGACTGAAATTAAACCGCTAATAAACATTGAACATGTGATTGGTCCACTTTGTAGCATCGCATTTTTCAGCAGACAGCTTTTCCGTTTCTCCTGCTTCCCCTCGCTCGGTTTAATGGTTGTAGAAACCATCTTCTCTGATGTCTTTCTTTTCATCGTTTCAGTTCTTTAAGAAAAAGTAATTGCTCTTCAACATCTATCAGCTCCAATATGATAACATTTGCCATTGTTCTGAAGTTAACAGAGACGCTATAAAATTTGTTAATAAGTGCAGTAGTATAGAAAGTCTACGGCCACTAGTGTTTCGGCTCCGCGGCCACTAACGTTTCAGCAGTGTGATTGCAGAGCGAAGCACACACACCTACACGCAACGGCGTGGCCCCGTATGTAGGCTCCGTGCGTGCATATGGTGTTGACGGTGATGATGCTTCTAACACCCAACAGACACAAACATTTAAAAATGAAAACAATCTCCTGGTGAAAAAGCTGTGTCATAGGAGACACAGATGAAGACGATTGAGACAACGGCTGACACCGGTGTCTGTCTGTTGAAAAGAAAATCACGTGATTTCCGCAACAGACTTAATCATTACTTCAAGCCTCTGCCTGCTGCACCACCTCTCGCCTGTGCAGAAAACGTCCCACTGCGTTGTGAATGTGTGAAAAGAAAACTACGGGTAATCTCTGTAGTTAATTCTCCAGATTTTACTTGCAGTTAAATGGCTGCAAATGGCTTTAGAGTCACATTGACTTTCTATAGATGCATTAATGTTTATGTACAAACCCGGCCACCAAGATCTTGGGAATTTCCGAAGCGAAAGCCTCCGCCATTTCTCTGCTGCCCACATTAGCGATGCAGTGCAGAGCCAGGTTCATGAAGGTTGGGTTGCGGCTGGCCAGGTCATTCTTAATGCCATTGTTGATGAGACTGATCAGGTCGCTGTTAGAGTTCACCAGCACTGAGATGAACAGGTAACCCTGAAGGGAGAAGTATTTTGAAAAACACTCTTTAGCAAAATTCTACTAAGTTTGTAAAAGTTACTTCCACACCTTTTAGCACTACTCTGATGGGGATTTCAATCAAACATATTTGTGTGATAAGTGATTGATTAGCTCTCATCTATCGACACTGCATGAACTTAAGGAGACACTTACTATTTGTTTCTCTGTGTACTTGTTGGAGCTGAGGAGGTTGACGGCCTCCATGTGTCCGAAGTCAATATCATGGCCCAGGAGAAAGATGAAAAGCAACTTGCAGACGTACTTTTTCTTACTGTAGCCATCTAGAGCCTTGTCTCCTATCCACACATGCACAAATATACACACACAACCACACACACACACACACAACCACACACAGAGATGGAGATGAACGTCTACATGAACTTACAATGCAGAGGTCGGTCATTTCCCTGGATACAATAGGCAGTAAAGAATACATTCAGTCAGATGAGTGAGGGGAGGAAGGAGGTTGGTGGGGGTTGATAGGTTTTGTCTTATAATCTATGGGTGAAATGAAAGAATTTAGAATACAGTTGGGGCAATGTCTTTGTTTTAATTTGTCAAGATTTATTTTTTTATGATTGATTTTATTACATTATCAAGATTCTTACTCATGTTTTTCCTTAAATGGATTCTGCCTAGAACTATAAAGAAATATATTATTCATGGCCACCCCCACCATGCGCTGCCAAGGCAGCTGCACCACGCCTGGATTCTGTGACAGCCTCTGTGAGTTTTATTTTACCGGTTAACACTCACATTTTAATTTCTCTGAGTCAAAGAAATATAAAGAAGCTGTGCAGTATGGCCATAGTTTAGTAATGAGATCCTAACATAACACACAGCATCTTTCATGTTGCTAACAGCACTGTCAGCTGAAGAACCAACCACACTGTATGGCAGCAGAGGAGGTAGACAGTGTCAGGTTCAAAAGGGGTTGACTTTGCTAACACACTGTACTAGAGCTGAGAGCAATGGTGCAGAAACATCACAGATTTGCAGTGGGGTTATTTCCAGACAAGAGTCTGTTATCAAAACGTTATATCCTGCAGCACAGAAACAAAATGCAGGGAAAGAGGACAAGCAGCTGCGAAACAAAGTTCACCAAACTGCACAGTACACTAATGTAGTGACATTAGTGTACTGTGCAGTTCGTTAAATATTTAAAGGATGTTTACAGAGAATAAAGCTTCCTTTCTACTGTGTTTTGACTTAGACTAGAAAAGAGAGTATGGATTTTGTATTTGCTGGAAAACTGATGTGACAAATACTGCAGTGATTGGTCACATTTGTGCTAAATCATGGGATCCCATATAGGCTAAATCCTGGAGAGACTTGGCCATGGTTGTGATTTTGCCTTCTATTTCCTTAGCATTAGAGTTTTCTATTTATTTATTTATTTCACTGTTGTGTCCTGATGTCCACAGAAATGTTGCGTTGGTAGCTTCTAAGCATTTATAATGACTTCTGACAATGTACCACTCTTTTCAGATGTCACATGAGAGATGTATGTGGGTGTGACATTTTTTAAAGATTTTAAAAGACAAGCACATTGAAAACCTAATCATCGTAAATGAAAAACTTCTCTGGCATAATAAAGAAGAAGGAGAGCACATAGGGAATATGGTAGAAACAACAGAGGCCAGAACGCTGGGCACTATAAGCAGTGGAGCCAGCTTCATTCTAGAGCAAACTAATTATAGGCAGCATGGGACAGGTGGCAGGAGAAACAACACCAACAGGATGTTCAAACAGATATGTTCACAAAGAGATGTGTGGACTTGTGGACAGTGCAGTCGTGGCAACAGTCATTTAAACAAAGCTGAATAAACTGAAAAGGGTCAAAGTCAAGACAGGGTCACATATGAGTTAGTGAATCAGCAGCAGTAAACAGAGTCAGAGGAACTTGTTTCATGGAGGGCCAAGGATTTTATTTCAATCAGGTGCTATGAATCAGACTTTGGATAGAATGAGAACAACAACTCATGGCCCTTTGTGCCAAATTCTGTTGAGCCTGATTTCTGAGAATTGTTCACCTACCTTTAAATTTGGAGCGGATATTGGCCAGTTCTTTGTTTATCCTCTTTATCTCAGCCTCCTTACTTTTACCTAGGGTAAAGAAAACAACAATTCGAACAATTTAGATTATTACACCGTAGTGAATACATCAAAAATTATTTTTTATTACATTTCTGCAAAAAGATCCTTTTTACTTAAATCTTACACACTGGACCTAGGGACATCATCGCAGATCACTTCCCCAAGAACAGCCTCAAATCTTCCCAGCAGGATTTAACAGGTTTTATGTGTTGACACAACAGCATCACATTGCTGCAGATTTGTTGGATACATACTAAAGCTGCAATTCTATCGTTTAAACACAACCAACACTTGCTCTATTGGATTAACAACAAATGGAGGGATGTGCTATATTTTTACTCAACTACATACATCAGCAAATATCTGTACTTTCTACTCAAATACATTTTGTCGTGTTACATGTTCACTTTGTTTATCTCTGAAACAAAGGGCAATTGGTTCACTGATCTAATCCACAGGAGAAAAGCAAATCTGTAGCAGCAGCAGCAGCAGCAGCAGCAGCATCACTGGTGAATAAAGGGGGGTTAGGGTAACTCTAATTCTAACCCTCACCAAAGATTAATTCTTAAAGGCCACTGCCAAGACTCAGCCACGAATCAATATTTCAATGCAATTGTTTTCCGTAGCATAATCTGCAGCATTCCTTATTAATATGACAGTCTAGACTAATAAACCAAATACACAGTGGACAATAATGTAGTAGACTTTGAAGTTGGAAATATGTTACACTAGGAAGGTATTTTATTCAAGTAGAAAACTCTTATATTTTTTAGTCACGTGAATCGTAGTTTTATTTAAGTAAAATGTTGAAGTACTTTCTCCACCACTGTTGACAACAAGTGACAGTGAAAAGATGTACATGATGCTTGTTCACACATCCACTTCTCTTTGATTTCAACGGACATTAAACTAGGAGGCCAGGCACAGAAAGTCTGCGGAAACTGCAGTCTGTGGAGTTAAAGTCATGTCTGAAAGCAGCTTAACAGTGTCATCAGTCAGATGTGTAAACTCAGACTGGGTAAACTAAACAGAATTTGTAAACTTAGTCAATGTATTGAGAGCCTGAAGAGATGGCGAAATACCCCAAATGAAAGCTGTAAGCAGAATTGGTGGAGCTGTTCAAGTCCCTTCGTCCATTTGAAAAAAAATAAATCTGACATGGATCAATTATGTGCTCTACCTCCTCACTGTGCTTGCATGATTCATAAGCATCAGAAGGATGTTGGACTTTTGTTATATTGCTATTGATTAAAATGATATTGTTGAATCACCCAGCCCAACGGCCACCTCAGACAGCATTAGTAATAAAAGCAGTCTTAACCAGACTGAGTCTTCTCTGTGTATTGTCTGTTATATCAAGTTATGAACACTTTTCAAACATGTGCATTATATGATAAATGGGTCATACGTGCAAATAGTCACTTTTCTCATAATCTCATAAAACATTTACATAAT